CGTCAATCAATATAGGAAAGTTTTAATTTTAAAGAGTTTTAATTTTAATCTTTTTTCCACAATTTCTCGAACGGTAGAGAATGAGATAAAATATTCCGAATGGAAAAATACATTTTTTTACGTATAACTTTTATACGAACGAATTCAGATGAATCGTTTTGAATTTTTTTGATGACACTAAATGAATCATTCAATATCATATACCTCGCGCGTTATCATAGCTAAATAAAAGATTCTTATCGCCCTCGCTCCCTCCTTATTTCGATGAAACTCTAGCGTACGCTTTAACGCGAGAATTTAGAAGAAGAAATCTGAGCTTAAAACCGATTAAACAGTTTAGAGGGACACGGAAGATAACCTTGACGCTGCATGAAAGAGACAATTTAATGGGATAAAAATACGATACGATTTACTCTAATTTCCAAGTTTATACAACTGCTAAAATTACGTCAAATGTAATGCGCCAAGTTGCTGTTATACGTCAACCAACGACAGTATACAATGCAATAAACAATTCTTAATCTGATAATTAATGTCGCATCATTATTTTGGTCTCTCTCTCTCTCTTTCTCCCTCTTTCTTGTTCTTCGTTCTCTTATAATGCAATTCAGACTGTGAGCTCTAGGAAGCTTCAAAAGTAAATTTCATTAAAGCAGCAGTGGGTACTTCCGTTTAATGTCGTTAGCTAAGAGAAATGAGAAATAAAAGAGCTCGAAAAAGACGACGAGACGGGTCAAATCAACGTCGAGGATTTAGAGATTAACGGCGTTAATATTTACAGACATTGACGCTGTAGTACGATGAAAAGGCTGGAGAGATAAGCGAGGAAAGGCGAGAGTGAGATAGAAAGAGAGAGAGAGAGAGAGGGCGAAAGAGAGAAAAAGACAGATTCTATGGATGGATAATGGGTGGCACAAAAAGATCAATAAATGTATGCACGTCCGCGCGAGTTATAAATTCGAATAAATACGCCGGCGAAAAAACTTTTTCCATCAACACGATTAATTTTGTTTTTATTCCATTCGCTCTCTCTATTACTTTTCGTATTTCAATCAAAAGGTCGTAGCTCCATAATAATATCCAACGTAGTTTAAAGTAATAAAGTCAAGTAAGATTCAATTTGAAATGTACGCATAATTAAATTCGAACGATCGGTTTCGTGGACTGGTATAACCTTATAACGAATATTTTTTTTTAGCGCACGTTGAATTAATAATAGACACAGATGTATATGACACGCGCGATCACTTTTTGAGAAAATGTTTTTCCCCAACGAAAGAGCATTTTTACCCATGTTCCATTATGTAAATATTGTATTTGTTTGACGCGTAAACTGGTCAATAAAATTGTCAACACCTGTCCCACTTTCAGTCGGCTGAATTTGATTCGTCCTGTACAAGTCCGGCTTGCACGTATGTACACACATACACGCACACGCACGATCCTGATGATTTCACACAGAGATACAGGCGTGTAAACACGTCGGATATGCGACTCCACGTAATAGGGTATGTATGCACGCACGATTACCGGATAAATTAATATAAAAAAGGATACTTGGAAAATAGCGAGATAAAAAGAATTCGTCTACGTGCTCCGCCTTCGCACTATGTAATGGGAAGAATAATTTCAATATACAAGTAAACATATATATATATATATATATATATATATATATACACACACATATATATATATGTACGTAATCGTGTATGAGTGTGCGCCTGTGTATGATGTGTCATGATTACAAATTTAAGTGGAATTCGCAATTTTCTAATAGAGACGAGATATTGTCGCGTTACTAGATATATTGCGCAGTGAATACAATATTCAATTATAATTTTAATTAGCGAAAAAATTATTTTAATAAAAAAAGGAATTTATGAATAAATATAAACGTTACATCAAACATTCGCATCGTTTGAATAATGATATGATGTTGAAATAAAAAGATGATAAAATTCCGTATTTCATCATGATACGTGATATAAAGAACATACAACAAGACTACAAAAACTTGGAAAGAAAAAACTTGAAAAAAATCACAATTATTAACGTGCCAACAAATATAAAAAGTCATGTTTTTTTTCGCACGATTAGCATAACAAATATTAAACTCGCATTCAAAACGTCGCATTTAATGTCTCCGTTTACGTGCTATGAAATGCGATATTTGAGCGTCAATGTTATGATATCGCTTCAGCTTGGTATTCGATACAATTTCAAAAACAAAATCCACGTCACGCGATTAAAGTAGCGTTAAGTAACCTTGCGCGTAAATAAAGCACGAGAAAACACTCGATTTTATTACTCTCCAAGAGAATTGCCACGTTATTGCGAATTTTTAAATATATATTTTCTATAGTGAGTATATGATTATGCGCGAATATATTTCTTTCATCGCGTCGATCATCCGGAAAGCCATTTTTATCGCGACATAATACGCCAATGTCACACATACATATATATAAATATATAAATATATACATATATATATATATATATATATATATATATATATTTATGTGACATTGGGTGTATGTGTGTGTATCGCTAAATAAAATACTAAATTATTATATTTTTGCTGCGCGCAAAAAGAAAAGAAAAAAATTATAAATTTATTTTGCATGTATATTACTTTTACGTTTTGCTTACGGAGCGATGCAGCTCGCGTTAGCAAATACGTGACATTATAAATGCAGCTGCATGACCTTCCTCGCGACATTTTATTTCATCTCGCAATCCTTTCGCGAGTTAAACGTAAAAATAATTAAAGAGAAGTCTGAGCGAGGGAGATAGAGATAGAAATAGAGAGAAAGAAAACACACACACACACACACGAATAAAATCCTATTCTGTGCGCTCTTATTCGATTTTCTCGAAAAGTTTGTTCGCATAGCACGGAGAATCCGCGCAAATTAGACGCGCCGATATAAATCACTACAATTGTTTTCGACGCGCGAATTTTATTTCCGCGCACGATTCGTTTGTAGCTCCGATCGTGCAAAAGCGAGCGAAAGCAAGGACGACTTGAATCGCAGCGATCGTCTTCCACCTTGGAATTTGATTTCGTCGTAGAATTTGCTCGCGAGAGACGGTTTTAGGCCGGCACTGTTTCATTGTTCGCGCGCGAGTAAAATATGCAAAGTAACCCGTATCAACGATAAATATAGAAATCATAAAAAAAAACACGTGCATCACATGTCATTTATATAGATGACGAGTCAAATAACACTTTACGCGTGTAATTTAATTTTTAATCCAAATTTTACGTAACCTACATCTACTCTCCTTCTTCTATTTTAGTTTCCAAGATTGTATCAATATTTTTTCACTCGTCTCGCTCTCGAAATAAATAAGATGCAACAAAATATGAATAGTCGATAAAATAATTACTCGCTGCAATTCGCGATTCAGCGTTTATCGATTTAATTCTGAAACGTATACTTTCAATTCGTCCGCTAGAACGAATGCGAGCGGTGGGTGGGGGGAGTCGGAGGTGGTCGACGTGGGAGAGGGCGAGGGGGGAACGAAAAGAGTTGAAGCGGAGCATCATGCACGGGGAGAGAACGTGCCGAAAAAACTGCATCCCCCTCCCCCCCCCACCGGAAAATTTGTCACGCGCGCGCGCGGTATATTTATCCGTATACATATATTGTCAATGACTCGGCGTGTATCGCAAATAAATATAGCCGTATCAACGATATTCCGGTATATCGTGTAAATAAATAGCGTGTACGCTCGACGAACGGCCGAGAAGAAAATGATGTCTCTCGCGATAACAATAACATTCTTATCGCGAGCAACTTTCCTCGCGGACTGTACATGCCTTTTTCGACAAAGCGCTGCAAAAACCATTCTTTTTTTTTTCCATCTTCGCCGTCGTGGCCACGATTTTATTAGCGAGATGATCTTAAAAGCTGCAAAATTGGATTCGCATACGGTGCACAAAACACAACGAAATTCCGTTGTAATAACAACGTAACCGTTTATCGATTCGATTCTTGGACATGTGACGAATAATGTCGCTTTCCTCTAACGTCTTTTTTTTTTCTCATTCTTACATCGCGCAGCATTTGTCACAGCGAGCGCGATACACCATTCGAAGAGCGATTAGCAACGAGAGAGATAACGAGAGAGATAAAAATCCGAAAACAATGCAATTTCATATTAAATAGTCGTTAGGACAATGCGAGTCGAGTTGGCTGCGTTAAATCGGGTTAAGGCACATCTATAAATACTTCACTAACTGAGAGTGAGAGGGAAGGAGAGGGAGAATGGCATGGAGAAGAGTCTGAGCAAAAGGGACAGAGATATCGAGTATGGTTGATAGAACAAGAACGCGAGACTAACGGAGAAAGATACATACGGAGAAAGACCAGAGAAGAGAGAGAGATAGAGAGAGAAGGACGGAGAAAGAAAGTACCAAGACTGACAGAGAGAGGGAGTAAAATCGGTGAGAAACGCGCGAATGCGAGATAAAGATGAAAATGAAAAGAGAGATGATAATGGTTTTGAAGAAAAGAGAGAAAAAGAAAGAGAGAGAGAGAGAGAAAGAGAGAAAGAGAACGAGACAGAGCGAAAGAGAAATAACTAGTCTATCTAATAAGCACTGTATTGAAGATATATACAATGGTATTCGTTGCCAGATGTCTAACTACACGATAATCTCCCCACCATCCGCTACCCCTTCCTCCCACTCGTCACCATGCTGTCACTTCTGCATTACAGTCGAGCGAATATTCGCCGAGGTAAATCTGACGGTTACATGGAAGGGGCAAAGAGACGGGGGAATGGGAAACGCGCGGGGGAGGGAAGCCCGAAACGCGGTGATTAAAAAGAAAGAGACGAGAAAAAGGAGAGTGGGAGAGAGAAAGAGAGAGAGAGAGAGAGAAAGACGTTAAGCGCGAAATTTGTTTGCAGCGCTACGTTGATGGCGCTTCAAACGACGATATATTCACGCTTTACCACAAGCCGGCTTTTCCATTCGCGATTCTCACCTCTATCTTTTCCATTTCTTTGCTGCACGATTGTCACTCACTATTCCCACAGTCATCTAGAATCCCTTGGCGGACACACACACTGACGGCACATAGCGCGCGAACATGTATCACGAGCTACTCGCGAGAGCGCGGTGTGCGTGTATCGGAGCGATATAGGTTTGACGCGCGCGGACCAGCGACTCACGGTGCGGCGCACGCCGCTGTCCCATCAAGACTACTTTGTATTTACTCTAATTATGTGACGTCACGGATACACTGCTCGCCCCACTCCTGCCCGCCGAAGGCGGCCGAGCGCGGCCGACTTCGCCCGAGTCCGCCCGAGCCCGCCTGTAACCGCGGCGACGGCGCACATGGCGCGGCCGTTCAGTGAGTTCGCCTCGTCGACCAGTCACCTGTCGTCTCGCCTCGCGTCACGTTCTCTTCGCGGCAACGACGCTCGCGATCGTTCGCGTTTGCTCGCAGTTGTTGCGTGATCGTGCGCCGCGTAGCATCGATGTTGTTCCGGATTTTTCGCACCGTGATTTATACGCGTTCGTCGCGTATCCACGGGAGTCGAGAGTGATTCGCGATCACATTCCGAGTAATATTCCGCGATGTATTCCGCTGGCGGAAAACTGTGCGACGTGTGAGAACCGTGTGTTGCTACGAATGATGAAAATTTTTCGAGAACATGGAGGTGCGATGAAGCGAAGACTTTTCGCGACATTTTCAGTGAGTGAATGCTGCATATCGTTTCCTATTACATTGCGTGTGCGTGTGTGATTGTGTATACATATATGTTTGCAATCGGTATTTTACGATTAATTCGCTATTAATGATACGTAGATACATATATTGTTCGTATTCTCGCGTTTGTATTCGCGAAAATTTGTGCAACGATACCAACTGCCAGCAATGGAAAATACCTCAAACTTTCTTTAGGCAAAAGTATTTCATTCAATTTTATGAAAGATCTATACAACAAATAAACAGTAACAAAAAAATTACGAGATTAAAAATTCATGTACAAAGTAACGCGTCATATCGGATAAATTTGAAATATTAATAAAAAATGATTTCATTTACTCATTTCTTTATGTTTCGCAAAAAATCTCTGAAAAAATGTGATTGAAAAACAAAACATTGTTATTCTGTGTTTTTTTATTTATATTTTATTTATATTAAAGCTACTAATTAATGTGGACAATTTTGTAAAATAAACATGTGTATTAACGTGAAACAATGTGCGAATTTCTTACTTTGTTTAACGATTTGTTCGTCGATCGAAAAGTTTAAAAATTAATTTCTTTTGTCCAAAGCAAAATTGCATGTTAAGTTTAAGTCAATAATGTGTGAAATTATCATTGCAATAATTAAATCACTTTGCGTTTTGTACAATGTCGAGCTAAATTCCTATTCGATTTTTATTGTAAATGTGTTTAAAAAAAAGAGAAAAAATTAAGGGCGATTTTTCTACTCTTATAAAATCTAAAGAAAAAAGTAAAAATGTGTCAATTTTCAAGTTTTATAGTTAAATTAATATTGCTTATCAAGGATGTTCTGTAGCAAGTGATTTATTTAATTGAATTGCTATCGTTCGTGCCAGATAAATTAATATTCTGTGCAGAAAATATATACCATGTTTTCATTGTTTGCAAATGGTTCATAAATGTGCGATATGAATGAATATGCGCAATCAAAGATGTGGCAATCAAGTGCATAATAAACGACACTATCGTTAAAAAAAATTATATATGTTTGTCCCATTTATTATCCAAAGCTCTTTTATCCAGTTTCCAATATTATCCATTTCTCATAAAACTACGGATTCTTCGCACATTATAATTTCCTCTCGCTCACAGATATTATACACATGCGTATCGCCCGCTGTCAACAAAAAAACGGATTTTAATGTCATTAAATGTTCTTCTCTCCGTAATCGCTCTGTATAACAAACAGATTTGAAACGTTTTACATAATTATTTCGTTTTTTCGTGTAACTTTCATAAGGATCAAGGTTTAATTTTGCGTTTGTTCTAGAAGAAACGTTCTTTTGTTGCAATAGAAGGCAACGTGCACAAAGACAAAGAAAGAGAGGAAGAATACATTATATATATATATATTATATTTACATACGTATCAGATGCCTCTTCAGGCAGATTTTAGGTGTAGGCCTAATTCGCGAGACACTGATTAACACAGCGCTAGGATTAGCGTACTACATACAGGCTGGTATAGTAATGTTGTAATAAGTTCGTTGTTTTTTTTTTCGCGCTTTTAATGATTTCCGCAATTTTCCAGCGACGGTTTGACAATGGGGGCAAAATGAATCTTTAGTGTTTTTGGAGGCGAAAGATGATTATTTTATCAAATAGTTTCCATCAATTGTTATTGTGCGTAAAAAAAATCTCTCGTGTCTTGTAGAGAAAATAAGCTTATTTGTAGAAGTTGAAGCTGGGAAAAGCATGATGTTTGCTTATTTAAATCTATGCAAAAGAGATGCAAGTGTAATAAAAGCCATTGCGGAAAATTCAATTGTGCCATATGTATTCGTACATGTATCGCAATACGTATATTTTTTTTAATAATGGGACGATAAACAGTATCATTTACTATTGTACCCTTTTTATCACCGTAAAATGAGATATTGCGATGCTTTAAATGATATATCGACCACAACAATTGCACAAGAATTATTTTATTTTATAATCGCAAGTCGCATCGAGCAAAAAGTGCGTGCAATGTCGTCATTTTTTTATGTCAAGTGTCGTTGCGTGATGATTTAACGACAAGATATAAACATCTATCACACTTTTAATTGACATAATTAAGTATGCTTGAAGTTCTTGAATTTTCCGTAATAGCCAAATTTTTTTCAACCATGTTCAGAAATGAATTTACATGCAAAACGTGGATGAGACAAGATTAAAATGAAAGATCAAAATCTATAAACTCAATAATTTTGAGAGATCGAGAATGTTCGAACTTTTTGCATGTCAATTTGATTTATTTTCGATAGTACTATCTAAAAAGAACTGAGAATGCATTATTACGAAAATAGCATTGTATGTATATGCATTGTAATAGCGTGTATGTATGTGTATTATGTTGACATTCGCGAAATGCACATACAATTTCGATTGATTGTTTGTGCCTATTGTTGAATGCAGGATACTGAATAAGCTCCCTTTGTCCAATTGAAACCGAATTCGAGATAATGCGAAGCGCAAAAGGTATATGAAATTGATCGAGTTCTAGCGCACCATTAACAACGACTGATCCTCGCCTAGACTAGATTTGGTACCAGATCTGGTACGATCAGAATGTAAATGGATTGGGTAAAGTATCACAGCTGGCCCCCGATATAATATTCAAAACAAAAATTAAACGAGGAATTTTTTTGGATCGGATGAAGGGAGGAGAGGGGAGGGGGCCTTAAAAGAGTCATACGGTCGTCTTCGACTCCGTCCGCTCGGAACCAGATTTCTTACATGTTACCCGTCTTATTATTGTTGATAAGTCATCTATGAAACGTAGAAAAAATTATACAAATAGTAGCTATCTAAGATCTCGAGGTTTCCGATGGACGGAGCTGAATCGGTCAAACTCCCTTTTTGCGCGGTATTTATATCATATTCGTCATATATATATATATATATATATATATATATATATATATATAACACATATATATATTATATATATATGTATACATATATATATATCATATAATCGTTATTATACATATTAATAATAATAATATTAATCATGCTCCTCTTGTTATCATTAATATTATTATTATTATTATTAAACGCTAAGGTAATCGCTGTGACGGTGCATAAAACGCGCAGAAAATTGTAAAGCAAAGCTCTTTCCATAACGCAATTATGATTTTGCAAGTAATTTTATATATTTAATTATCCGAGGTAATTTTATTTCTACAATCTATTAATCATTACGTGTGTAACGTACGTAAATTCAAGAATATAAAAAATTAGCGAGACGAATTTTTCAAAAAAAGCTTATCTATAATTTGTGCACAATTACACCGACACAGCAAATTACTTTTATTAAATTAAAGAAAGCGTGTCGAGATCGCACGAGGCTTCGTTATTTCTCTCAAAATTCTACTTTATACATGAAAATAATCACAGAGAGCTTGAATTACCTCGTAGATTTTGCATTTGGTGAAAATTAACGCGTTCTCTATTTTTACTGTCGATTTAGGCTTATACATTCATAACATATAAGCCTAAATCAAATAAGGTCTCATTTATTTATATATCTTGAGTAATTAGAAATCAATACATGTAAAATTTACGAATTATAAACTCGTTAACATTGTAAAACACTAATACGAAATACTTGTAATAAATACATATCTTATACCATTATATATATATATATATATATATATATATATATATATAATGCGTCATACACAAAATACATATGATTTACTGATAAATAAATGTATGTGAAGTAAATAAAAGAAAAACGCGAATAGATATAAATAACCGTTACATTGTAATTTCAACTTTAATTTATTTAGAAATATATTTAAATATATATATATTAAATAAGTGCGTTTTTCTAAACGCATTGTTGTAACAAATTATTAGTAACACTGACGATGTTTCTTTTAAAGTATTTACCAATATATATTCGCATAGACTTTGCATAACATTGACAACTCAAAAGTAGCTATACCAATACCTGAGATTTTTCACGACGTTTTGGAAAGAGTCTGATATGAGGAATCATACGAGGAATTTTGATTCTTCGTACATTAAATTTGTATATTGAAGCCTCGCACGAACACGATGCGATATCGAAATCTCTTAAAATATGTTCTATCTTTCATTCTTTCGTTTTTATCGCTCGAAGAAAAGTGCTCCTCGCACATGATATATGCATATCCACATGTCGCATTATAATGTGCAATTAAAAATCGATAATATTTCTCATTTTATAAAGCTGTTATATTTTTAATCTTTGTGATAATAATTCAAAAATATAATGTTATATTATTCACTATGAATCATTATTTTGAATATGATTCATTAATTATTATTAGTTATGTGGACGTTTATTTCTATCGAACTAAATATAGATACAAGTAGCTGTTAGAAAAGATACACAGAAATATTTGCATATCATTCCTAAGAGAACTTTACGACTTCCGTTTGCGACTTAAATATTTCGCTGTTTATCAACATTCCTTGGCGAAGAGCGTGTCTTCGAGCAAACAAAACGTGAATTATGGACCGTCGCGTTTATCGCTATAAACGTTCCCTATAAGTTTATTCGTCGCCATAGCAAGAGCCGTTAACTTCCACAATTTCCGGTGCAGCTTCAGTTACCGTACTGTTGTCCTCCGCGGTATTTATCCTGTCCTCAGGCTGTTCCTCGATAGTTTCAAGGAGTTCTTTTTCATTGGCGCCTTCCTCCTCGCCTTGTTCCTCGCCTTCGGACTTGACGTTGACCGACTCGTTCTCCGTGGTTCCCGTAAAATCTCGTATTGTTTCCTCGTTCTCCTGCTGATCGCGTAAAGCCGTTATTACCCTTTGCTCGATTGTGAGCTGTCTAACGGCATTTTCCAAGTTATCCCTAAGAATGTTTGAATCATTCTCATTCTCTTGCCATGTGAAAGGCGTAAAAGTCATTCGAACAAGTTGATAAAGCCGCCTAAAGCCCAGCTTCTTATACAGACTTTGGCTAGCTTCATTTTCTGGACGTATCACTACAAATGGATAATACCCTTTCTCGGCTACGCGTTTTGTCAGGTACCTAAAATTTTAAACACACGTATATTTCATCATATATTTTAATTATATATATATATAATAGAATTCAATTACAAGCTGTTTCTTTTTATAAAATTAAAATATTCCTAAGATCTTTTTAAATCGTTATCATTAATCGTTATCATTAATCGTTATCATTTAAAAAAATGTACGAATGTCAAAACTCACAAATTTGCGTACCTTGCTAATTTTGTCCCATAACCTTTTCTACGATGTTCCGGCTTGGTTTGCATAGAGAACATAGCTCCGTAATAAGATTGAACCATCCAAGCAGCCAAGCTGCCCTTCGCAAACACACCCGCCGCAGGTAGTTTTCCAATGAGTCGAAGAAAAAGCTCGTGACATTCCATATCATTCGCCGGATATAATTCATGTATTCCTTCGGCATGCTCACTCTTTAGAGGTAGTACCTGGACATCAGGATTGGTCATCTCACCCTGGCTCTCCTCTCCTTCCAGCTCGAAGATTTCGCACGCGCAGACATCACCCACGACCGTTTCAATGGTACCGGTATCTTCGTAAAGACGCGTTAACTCCTCGGCGATATCGCAGTGAACGAAATTAATGTACAAAGGTTTTGACCAGTCTAGCAGAACGTCCTCCTCTCGAAGAAGACGAAGTAACTCGAGCCGATCATTGGGACAGAAGACACCGACGCTCTCGTGTACTAAACCATGTGGCTGGAAGCACAACGGAAGACGCGATTAAAGCATCTGTAGTATGTTTAACATTAAGAAAAATATACAACATGAGCGAAAAACGACTTGAAAATCTTTAACGAGATATTTATTGCTGCTGTCATAATTTTCTCACACATTGCATTTTTTGAAATCTATGAAAGTTATAGAAATAGATTCTCTGAGATACGTTAATGATAAGCATTCTGTATTTAATGTATCGAATATTTATACTCTGAATCTGTGTATAAATCATGAAGTAAGAATACTCTTATTTTTCATGGTATAAATATCGAAAAACACTCGTGTTTTTCTTGCCAATCTCTTAATATCTCTTAATATCAAACTCATGAAATAAATGCGGATCAACGATATAAATGCTAAATGTCAGAGACTACATCGTAATTCTTCGATGTGATGATATATTGATATTTGTGAGAAAGAGTATTTACGTATGTGAATCTAATAATTAACAGTTACTGAATTTATGGTACTGCGGAGATGATAATGAATTAAAGAGCACGAGCAAAATCATTTTAGAAGACTGGCATCAACGATAACGAGGACAGAGAGAGGAAAGTCTGGCAAATAGCCAAGCTCGTAGAATATGGGCCAACCCACTTTTTTACACTCTAAATTGAAGAATAGCGCATCTGCAATAATGAGTTTTTACTTATGGCAAAAATTTTTTGTAGCAGCAATACTTTCTTTGACTATATATGATATTTCGCGAATTAATGATTCATGCAACATTCCGGAAGAATTACATTTTTCTGTCGACGATTCCTTCAATCTCGCTTCTTTCAATCTTTTGTGTATGTATCTCATTTTGTTGAGGGAAGAGATATTACACAAAATACATTACATACAAAGTCACAAATAACGAAATAAGTTAGATTAGATAAGTTTGAGATAGAACAATCTTTTAAAGTGTAAGAATGTAATTAAGAAAGTAAGAACGGGAATGTGTTTTATCGTAAATAACAAAATATCGTTATAAAAATTAAAATTTTTGTTTAGGATTGCATCAGACTAACTTCCTTCCTAATCTTAAATCATAGCATAAATTTAATTTATACTTACAGATAATGTCATTCCGGGAAAATGTAAGCAGATTGCATCTTCGGGCCAATCGTTGGCCACGTAGAAATGAAATTCCCACACTCTATCCCGTATGTAAGTTAGTACGGTTTGATGAAACTGTAAAAAATGTATAATGTTAGCATATCTTTTTTTAAGTTAATAATATACTCTCTAAAAGTGAATCAGTGATATGCAGTGGTAAATAAGTATATATACTACTTTCACTAGCGTGAATCAATGTATTATCACTGAAAAACAGTAAATACTCATTCTATATTTTATAAAGAATAAATAAATTAGCCAGTTTTTTTATTACAAGCAGTTATAAGTACAGCACTGATTACAGTGCTGTACTTATAACTGCTACATAACTGCTACATAATACACTGATTCATTTTTAGAGAGTAAATTATATATTTTATATATATATACACACATTCATATATATATATATATATAACTATATATATATATATATATATATATATATATATATATATATATATAGTTTAATAAAAATGTCAAAAAGCTGGTTAATTTATTTATTCTTTATAAAATATAGAATGAAAGAGGAAGAAAGAAAGAGAGTGGTATTTCTATTGAAATGAATAGAAGGGTTTTTTCTAAGTTCATTAATTTTACTCGTAGAAAAATAAAAAGATATTAGAGTATTAAAGGAAAAAGGAAGGAATTCTGTAGAGAATTAAAAGAAAAGGAAAAATAGAAGAAAAATAATACAATGTCTTAAATGACCTATTTAAAAAAATCTATCCTATTGCAAAAAAAATATTCTGTTTTGCTCAAAAACTGCATATACTTGTTTTTAAATGTACAAAAAAATGAGATTTTACATTCACATGGTATAATTGAAGTTTATTTTAAATAAATATTAAATGTTAACTATATATTTGTATCACTTTCAAGAGTTTTTTGATTGAATGCACCAGGTGAAAATAACGAGCGAAATAAAATATCTCTCTCAAAGGTATATAAATCTCTCTCAAAAATAGCATAACAGAACACAAGTGATGTTAATGCAGTTTAGATGGGAAAGATCGATAAAAGTAATTGCACTTTTACACGACAGCTTCCTTTGACTTTCTGAATTACCAAATTGACGTCAATCCGAATAATAATCACAAACATCAGCTTATTTTTATATGGATTCTAAGAATCATATAAAATATTTTTATAAATGCGTTTGATATTTAACAAAATAGTTGTTATAAAATATATTACATAAATGGACACACGTTTCAATAAAATGTTATGCATCAACTTTATAAAAATAATAAAATAAAAAGAGAAATAATAACATTCTTGCTTTATTTTTTAGATTTTGCAAAAGATAATTTATTTTTTAAACTATACACACATATTTCATATTTCTGTAAACGAATTTCCTGCTTACAAAAAGTCTATGCGCACACATATTGACATTATTTATGAAAAAGTTTCCTGATTAATTATTGCAATGTATATTAAGCTTGGCATGACCATGCATCATACTATACAATATGTACTTTTTATCGATTTAAACGCACAATCTACTATTGAATCTTTTCTCTGGAACATTATATTATTTTTGCAGATATATTACTTTTGTTGAACAAAGTTAGTATTTTTAATGAGTAAAAAATTTTATTCTTACCATAAGATTTATTTGCAAATAAAATCATGTAAAAAATTAATTTATAATGACACTAATTTTTATCAAGAATGTTATGTCGTAAAGTATGTAAAAAGATTGTACGATAAAAATTAATAATTTTATACATTATTACTTTTCAGAAAACAATAAATTTTAAAACATAACGATTAAAAGTCAGGAATTAAGATTACATAACATACATATAGTATGTATAATTAAACTGCAAAGATTGGGAAAGCGAATATGAAAAATGTAGAAAGATTGTTATTAAGCTGACAAATTATTTAAATACAATTATTTAAATACAAAATGATTTTACGGGATTGAATCGTTGAATACATTTGAGTGGAAATATGTAAAATTTAGTACTCGTGTAATAAAAATTCGCGATATATAACATGATCTCACGACATGATATTTGTAATATCTGCGAGTGCATGTTCGTTTATAAATGTCAGTTAAATCTCGAAATAAAATAGGTATAATACGTGATTCCATTTTTAGGTAATGGACGAACAAAAATGGATACATATCAAAATTAAAAAAAATTACTTTAAGAACAAAATTTATAATGTAATTATCATATAATAATAATAAAAAAATATATTTTGAACAATATATTTTGAATGCTCGGAAATTATAAGGAAATGTTCGAGGAAAAGATTGTAAAAGCCATAGAAGTTTGATTATCCTATAACATGAGATACGTGAACGATCGGTTGTATTATACAGCTCGTATATTCAAAGTAATGTTCATGCTTAAATCGCTTTGAGAACCGTAAACAAACCACAAAGGTTAACAGCGATATGGTAATCGTACCGCAGATCATTACACGAAGTCGTTACTTCATCCACATATCGCTAGTATATTATCACGATAATAAAGAAAGCCATGACAAGCTATCTCAGTGAAAATTTCATCAACCTTAGAGTGTGGGAGATTTTTTCAAAATCTAATTTATATACAATATATCGATCAATTATTGTTAGTAACTTTACCGAGAATTATTATATCGTTATATGTACTTTATGTGTGTCTTATGTTACTTCTACTATCGTAATACATGAAAGCCCGACTTTCTTTGCTTGTTCTAGCGAGCTCTGACTCGGAACATTGTTTAGATTTCCATCTCATCGATACGTTGGCCTTCGCATCGCTATTTCCCCTGGTAAATAAATCCCCAGCTTGTACTTTACTCTCATATTTTTCGTGAGGATTGTTAAAGGAGATGGAGCTTTCTCTCTCGAATGCATATCCGCACCCTGTGATTTTCGCGTGACGTTTTCGATATATACGTGACATTGCATGCATCCGATATGCAACGCGATTATCCGCATCGCTTCGAGACTCGCGAAAGTGATCCGGAAGAGTTAACGACGCCGTGCTATATAAACATCGTTAGATCGAGTCGGCACGAAAAGGATTGTGCGCAGGCCCCTGCAGTTTATCCCGGAATAAACCGCAGACACATACCGGTTTCAACGAGCGGCGAAAAGGTGTTCAGAGGTCAAGGTCGTATCCTGACGCACACCTTGCTTTTTCGTCGCCGCACATGTAGCATATAATCGATGCACTTTGCATGCGCCGTATCGTCAGAGTTTACCGATGAGTGATCGTCGCAACGATACACGGTCGTGATCGTTGCGACATGCTCAGCTATTCCCCTTATCTCCCTCGAGTATTATACACCGCGTCCACCTACGCTACTTACTTGTTTTTCTATAAATAATTTGTCAGGCGAGCCGCCGATTGCTTTCTGGCTTGATATAGCTCTCCGCCGCGAGACTAGCGGGGAGAATGCGACGATGGAAAAGCCACGCGAGACAGTCTGTTCGATTCAACGTACACATCTCTCTTTGTAGGGCGCGACTATGCGGTGATTGAAAAACCGAACGCGACCTTTCACGTTAAAAACAAGCGCGTTCGTCTATCCGTGAGACGAAAATATATATATATATATCTTTGGGATTTAGCGTGACCGTTTATGTAATCGAATCGATAAATTGATGATACGAATTACCTTTGTCTCTCTTAGAGCGCACGATATCGCGTTGTGACTTGTGCCAGATGTGATTTCAATTTAATAATAATAGTTACGGAGCTTACGAATGCCGATTGTGTTCACGATTATTGACATCGATTGTCGCAGATTTCTCTTCTCCGTGATGCCGGAAGGGGAAACTCTGTGTTAATGCCTCGTGATCGCGAGCGAGGTCACGAGATCGGCACTGCGGCGATTCGCGAGTAATATGACCGCGACGTGTGCAAGAAACGACCCTGGCCTTCATCCCGGTATACGCGACCGTTTTTTTTGATTAAGCTAGCGTGGTCGCGCGTCATAATGTTGATCCATTTAATAATCAAAGAATGAACGGAGCTTTTTGAATTGATATTTTCATAGTCCGACATAGATCGGAACAAGATTAAACTAGATGAAGGATAGAAGGAAAAAGGAAAAAAAAATAAATTATCTTAATATCGTATGAAATGTATAATTTTAATAAAATATGAGAAAAGAAAACGTGCAATCTATTACTCGAAATAGTTGATTCTATTAAATTTAAATATAAATTGAATTTAAAAGATTAATTTAAAAAAAGAAGATAAAAAACTTTATGTATCATGACAGTTGTTTTTATCATTTAATTGAATTGAGAATAAAATATTTGCTGAAGAAATGAAAAGTGGAAATAAAGTTGAAAACACAAGTGTATGCAATTATTCATATCGATCCATTAAATATATGGTAGTTGATAGTTATATCGTATATAGAATAAAAGGTTAAATATATATTTCTCTCGTACCAAGCTAACTTTTTTCCCTTGATAAAAAGATATTTTTTGCCATTGAAAATTTCATATTTCTTGCGATTGAAATGACAAAGCAGGGATTTGCTTGCTAAATTAATTATTTAAATAGCATTTAAAATTACTATATTACGCTGCTGCGCGTTAATAATGGTCAACGAGCTATTCAATAAGTAATTGAATTCATTATACAAGTTATTGATTATTCTGATAATTTGTACAATGATCGATCAAGCTCACAAATATTCGAGCATCATTTCTATATATCGTAATATTCGACATATTACGTTCGCCGAATAAAAGATTCGCGTATACGTAATATGATACATATATATATATATATATATATATGGCACACGCGACGCAATCTTAACCCTGACCCTTTACAACCATCGGCACTTGGGCCACGTTACGATGCGATTTAGACATTGCACTTTTTCTCCCTATGACGGTAATCTTATTCCATCGATACATGAAGCTGGTCTCTCGAGAGCAAATCCGATCTCTCTCTTGCGATCACGACGATGCGACGATTTCTCGAGAACTCGATGTCAAATGGTACCAAAAATTGTAAGAAGCAAATCATAAATCCAATCTCGATTCTTGTATCCCTTGTTATGTATCAAGGTTACGTATTGTCTCTATAGAAATTTATATTTTATCCTGAACAAGAAGAATTTTTTCTAAATATACGCCCTTTCACGTCGTACATATGTTGAGTTATATTGATTTCGAGACGTGTTATTATTAAACAGAATAAAACGTCGAATGCAGTGTGCAGAAAGCGGGAGTGTTTATTACAAAGATTGTAAAATAATAGGATTAAGCTCCCGGTTCTCCCATTGTAAACTGCTTTCGGCGGCCTTTCAATTGTATTATTGATCGATAAAATAATCATTAGTTCAATTTATTGCTCGTAGCGAAGGCTGGGGTCGTTTACAGACTAAACAGAGGCTAATTTGCACACTGAACGCAGTAATTAACCACCTTTGATGAACGCAGTGTCTCCTCTCTCTTTCTCCTCCTTACATCTTATAAATATGAAATTTCAATTTTGTGTTCATAAGGTGTAAGGAGGAGAATATGTTTAGTCTTTTAATGAGGTGATTTTCAGAGAATACAAATTGTAATTGGATAACGGTAGAAAAAATAAAATAAATTTTCAACAAAAATAAACTCGAAATTAAATACAGTTGTGAAATATCTGCACTACAATTTAGAAATTTTGTCAAATATCTTTGAGAAGTATACAATGCAAAGTTAATTTAACACTTGTTATCATAGTATTGCACGATCGACAATTTTTTTTTACAAAAAAAAATATATATATATATTTATTTTTATATGAGTCTTATTATATACTATTTTTTCTCATTATGAATGTGTGTGTGTCGAGAACTTTTATTCTCGTATAATATTTTTCTCACTTTCATCAACATCAAATTAAATTAAAAGTTGACGCTTTACGTAGTTGCTATTCTAAACATATTATTAATTTATAAGCTAATTGCATGAAGCAAGTGACGGCAGGAAGATGCACTTTAAGCCTAAATATAGAAATATATCCTTAATAAATAAAAGTATAAATATATTATAAACGCGTATAATTTTCCTTTGTCGCATCGTTATTGGCAAAGAGATATACGTAAGAAGTATTTCCGATTATGAAATATTTACGAAGAATTTAATATCGCACGAATCGCAAATGTAAAAGGACATTTATTTCGATTGCAATAAAGAAGGACGTACGTACCTTCAACGAATCAGGCAAGTATCCCGTAAGAAAATCTAAAAGATTAGACAGTTCTTCTTCGGCGAGTAGACGAAAATTCCGACCTCGTTCTACCGCTTTGGGACACTCCATGCTGAAACTAATTATCGGGAGACTTTCATCAGATTAGATAGAGACTTATTTCACAGATTAGATAGATTATTACGTGAATGTTAAAGCCTTGTAAACCTTCAAGTTTTCTTATAAATGTCAGGAGCAAAATGGCGATCAACTCGGAATTGATTTTGGAAACACATAATTCGTGGCTCTACTTTTAGTTAAAATCAATATTAATCTAATTTTGACGCAAGGAATTAATACATAATTTTTCAAGGTTGCTAAATCCTCTGTTCGTGACACTTTGAAAATTTATGAAAAAAAAAAAGTTGTGTATAATATTAGCAAAGAGACACGCAACGCGGCTTCACCTATTCATTATCGCTACACGGGTTTCAGTTTCCGTGGACTGTTGGCTGATGCATATCGGTGAAATATTTATGTATAATCATAAATCGCGGACAATATGACGAGCTTAGCGTTAATACGTGTTATTGGTGAAAAATCTACAACTTGAATTTTTTTTCAAGGCTTTACTCATTATATGCGGCGGTTTAAAGCCTAATTAGATTTTTTAAGCTAATTTTTATTCTTGTGAAATACAGTTAATCTTTTGATATCATATTGATAAAATATGAGTATATATAATATGAATATATATAAAATATGATATATAAGCGATTTATTTGGGACGATATCGTATTTATACGATTTACCACCGTAATGTGCTAAATCGAATGTTGCTAAATGTCCTGAAAACTTATAAAATATTCAAAAACTGTAGTAAGAACATTTATTATCGATATAAAGATATATGTAAGTAAATATAAAAATAAGTGATGTGACTCACACAAAAATGTGACTATACTTAAGATAAATATCGATCAAAAAATTTGTCTCTACTTATTTTGTTTCATTAATGTAATAGTTACGTAACAATTTTTAAAAATTTTGCGAATACGGAAGAAATATTGACGTATTTATACTACGTCAGCGCAATATAGGTCAGTATGATCTTTGTAAAATTTCCTCGAACAGTAAAGGGCTTCTTGTCTTTTAACGACGTGCACAATCTTAAATTTGTAGGATTACGACGCAACCGATCCGAGAGACACGATAAACTCGTGTTGCGCAAGTTTAATCGAATGTCCAATTATCGTTTGTATAGGAAATAGATTAAAAAAACGAGACATTCATTATCGCTTTATCAAAGGATAGAAATCTATGTAAATCGATGGATTATTAAAATAAAACAAACATTATTATCAGTGTACATATCGTGTTAACTCTTGCAAATTGCTTGGGATGAAAATTGCAATATGATCGAAATATATTCTGGGTAAATATTTCGAAGTTTCGTACATTTATTGACTTTTACAACACCTACAACAACTCGAATAACAAAATATACAATGCTAAAGAAATTTGCACTCGCATTTATTATATAGACCGATTATGCGAAATAATTTACAAAATAATGAGCGAAATTAGAGAGAGTTTCCTTATCTTCATTATATCTTACATCTGTATCTTTAAATAAATATAATATATACAACTATAGAGATTAATATAATTAATTTTAGCTGAAGAGAGATTAATACGAATTTGCACCGAATTGTTGCTCGAACTATTTATATCTTGTCTGTATATTTTATCGGAGATTAAAAGAGCAGAAATTTACTCACATTATAGCGAAAGTGCACTTGTAATCATAATCGTTAGATACGATAATCAAGGGAAATCAAGGAGCAAGAATCAAGAAGCGAGACTCTTATTCACGATACATAAGAGTTGTAACGCGAGAGAATAGCGATACTTTGACGCGGAATTTGCAAATTACAAGAGCAGTGGCCCATCGTGCGAGCGATTGCCATCGGAGATGAGAACACACTCGCTTTACAGAGATACATTTTCAAACCGCCGGTATGTCACGAGACCGCAAGCGGTGCCGGTTGCGCGTGTTGTGCAATTCCCGGTCCCCTCTTAACTCCCCCCCTTTCTACCCCGATTCAAGAATGGTCCAATCTAGAAGCTACACATCGCTGCATATCCCCACGTCTCGTATCCTCGCGCTGCTCGAGCGATCTCTCTCGCCTCTCGCATCTCGCGGTAAATCCGCGAGAAATTGCACGTACGTACGCTTAATAATCGATTTACCTGAACGAGCGGGAGCCTGTCGTCCGAGCACGCCGCGCGCGGATCCTCCTCTTGGAGAGGAGGACGACGACGGCGACGGCGACGTTCGTGCACTGGGATCGTCGACTGATCGCACTATTACCCCCGATTGATCGCGGCCTCGAGCGTGCGAAACTACTACGTGTGCAAAACGTACGGGTTTGCCGCCGAGGGCGAGAATGGTCGCGGGCTGTTGTCAAGGGGCTGTAGTTCCAACGAAGGAGGCACCCACCCTCGCCGCCCCCTGAACCCGCACTGCCGCCCCTGGGCCATCGTCGTCCTCCATGCACCGAGCGCTGTCGGGATGACGACGCGCAGGCGTCGTGACGCCAACAGTGCCGCGGTTTAAACACGTGGCACCCTTGAAAGATCCGCAGGGCCGTGATAATTGCCAATGTTGCTAATGTTGCTCGAACAATCCTGAACTAAGCTGAGTCAGCTCTTTTCTTAGGTCCTCAACCCGCCACTTTTATCGGGGAAATAACGTCCTTCATGGACAATGAATTCATGGGTGTTAGTAAATCCCCTAAAGTGGGCCAAAGCAGTTTATAATTGTAGATACGAAGATGATACTCGAAAGATCATTAAAAGCAACGAGGCGAATTTATATCGATAACTTTATATCGATAATTTCATAATTTAAAATTTGTGAAGCTATATACTCTCTCTTTCTCTTTCTTTTGCACTTTTGTTTATAAAGCACGGACGGTGAATCTTATTGTTAGCTAGACATAATCATGACAATACGATACTTTAGCTAATGCAAGTGAGAAAAAAAGTTTATGAAAATGATACATACGTGTCAATGCGACGATTGGATGAAGGAGATAATTTCCAGATCCTGATGCGGTATATGCTCTTGTTGCACAGAGCTGCAGAGTTTCCCCGCATTGCCTCTATCTTCAAAAAAGTATAGTTAGAATAGAAACCAGGATTGCAGATCCTGCTGTCGCATATGCGTCACAAGTTTATTAGAAAAATGGTCGTGAATATGGAATGGTCGTAATATATAACGCTTTGAATCAATTTCTTAACGAATTTATATTGTCTCTGTATTTTTTCCGTATTTCATTTTTTTCTTCTGCAAAGAAAAACCTTTTTAGCAAATGCATAAATACATGTTCCACCATTAATTATTTTTTAAAAACATAATCTAAATAAATGATTAGAGGCAAAGTGCATTCACGTGCAGATTAAAATTCCGTACACATGCTGTAAAATAAATTTACATTAATATGTTAGATGAAAAAATAAAATAAATTTACATTAATTTGTTAGATGAAAAAAAATTAAAGAAAAGCGAACATAAAATAATTTGTGTAAAATTGAGATATATATATATATATATATATATATATATATATATATTATATAATAAAAACATATACAGTTGCGATAAAAATCCGATTAAGCGCGAATAAACAATCAATTTTAATAAAGTATTTCGCATATAAGCTTTGTAAAGTGATACAGCGTCTTGTACATTTCATAATTTGAGATGCAATATTTGTCTCCTTATGTAAATCCTTATGTGTGCCACGAAACCTTAACTGTGGTAAGAATCGATAGTAAATTCGCTCATAAAACGAATAGGAGACATAAAAGACTATGCATATATAAATTTATTTACTAATGTATTTTTCGTGCGTAAATAATTAAAATAACATTAAAACGCGATTACACCAATCGAGTTCTCCTTCTGATAACTTTATAATTTATAATTTATATACGAAGAACGTCTATTATTTGCATATCATCTACTATTTTTCCTATTATCCTTTTTTCTTTTTAATTGTTACTTTCCAGAATTATGCTACTGTATCTTTTTAACCCAAGATGGTAAGTGTATAAACGACAATGCGCTTTATGCACGTGAGATCGTGCTACGAACACTGTTATTGCACAAAATATAGTCGGAAGAAATACGCTTTATAGCATAGAATCACGAAATGTTAAAGCACACAGTATTTTCAAAATATTGTCTAGTTTCATACTTGTAATTTTGTAGTATATCTGATTTAAAATGTAAAATCAACTTACGTGGCCATAATTTATCTCTCTTTTTCACAGAATATTTGCCCACGTGTTTTAATTAGTAAATCAACAAATGAAACAGAATGGATTTCAGTCCATATTAAATTCTATCTAAATTAGACGTTAAATATGGATGATGATTCATCATATAGTTGTGAACATTTTATCGACTGCTACTTCCCGGTAAAAAATTGTTCATATATACTCATGCAAAATTGAATATAATTATAGAAATTTAAACATAATTGTGTATTATAATTATAAATGATAAAGTATAAGACATTATATATATTTATATACAGGGTGTGTGTCAACATGCATTTATTAAAATGGAACACATAATTATACGCAGCAATTATATAATTATATGTAGCAATTCTTGCACTCATACAAATATATACAAATATATATATATATTATTATTATAATTATATATAAGTGCGCACTTTGCACTTATATAGGATGTCTCGAAAGGTAAGATCAATTGGCTAGGAGATGAAAAAGGAACATAAGTGAAACACATAATGTAAATAATATTTTTAAATCTCCTGACCGATTGACCTTACCTTTTGGGACACCCTGTATAATGTTTACAATGTTTTAAATATAAAAATATGTTACAATTATATTTGGATCTCTATTAATCTAATATATAATTATATAATTATATATGAGTCTTGCATCATGTATAAATATATATAATAAGCATGACTCACAGAAATACAGTCATACATAATTGTATAATACAATTCTATATAAACTTTACCGATGTTCATTTTTTACTGCAAAGAATAAAAAAGTGCCCAATATAAATTTTTACATTTAAAAGTGCAAAATTTGCGCTTTTTTAATTGCCTGGGTAAATGTATTAGGAGGTGGTTTGATTTTTGATGAAAAATCATCAACAGCGTCAACGATTTTAATAAAGATATATATAATTATAACATATTTATCGTTTAAGCATGCTCAGTATATACTGCGCATCCTGGGGTGCAAACCACCCTCCATCCCAACGCTGCACTGTCATCAGTGTCGCGACGCAGGGCGAAACACAGCCTCCTATATTCTCTCAGATCGATCGTGTCTGACTGGCAAGTAAACTCGCCGAAAAGTCTGGAGAGCTAGAGTCTGCTATGTCAACGAGCAGCACGTGCAACGCTGATCGCTATGCCAGGCTATCGGGATTCCATATTCGGTATGAGTAACACAAAAGAAACGCGTGTAATCTTTTGATAATTACACTTGGACTCTAACCTTAAGATTCATCTGTCAGTGAGTAACATTGTATGCCACAACCATCCCTTTTTGGTGATTATAATTCTATGACTGAATCTAACGAGTGATTCTCGATGTGTAGCAACATCGACGAGGAATTACATAATACTATCTTATATTTCTATATTTATTTTAACCGATAGTTACAGTTGATTACTTGCCGATAGTTACTGTAGATTACTTTGAATATTTTTTGAGAATAAGATCAAAATTCTATATACAAAGATCTCAGTTGCATTTAATAATTTCAACAAAAAATTTCTTTTTTCACTCCATTGGCAAAAATTCGTACAATTGATACAATGAAATTGAATCATATTAAGGTTGTATATATAAAATTGATAGATGAATAAGAATGAATAGGATAGCTATGCAAATTGGAAAAAAGGTCTGTACAAACATTATGAAAACTATATAAAATTTAACAGTATAATAACAGTATAAAAAAAAAAACGCATTTATACTAATTAAATTCTCTAGTGATGTTAATGAGAAATTTCTTTGTTTGTTTCAAAATAACAAAATATATATAAAAGAAACAGATGCTATAAAGCATATGCATAGCAAAAAGATTCATAAATCTGCAAGAGAATTATAATATTAAAGAACTTGCTAAACATATTTATATGTAGAAAATGCTTGTCTCATGTGCGTGCAATCTCTTCTATTATGCTCAAAAGAAAGTGTTTTTCCAACGCTTATATTAAAAAAAAAGTTTTTAATTTCTACAACATGCAAACACGTTAAATTTGTATTAATTTAACAATACATCAAAAATTTTAATATTATTACTATAATTATTTAGAGAGTGATGATTATAGTCTTATCATATATATAAATAAAGTCTTAACATAGAGCGGATTTTAAAAATATCTTGAATATATAACTATGTATTATAACTATTATACTTGTTAAAAAAATTACTTTTTATCTCTTCATTTTTGTTCCCGCCTCAAATGCTAATAACTAGTTGCGTTTTTCGCCATAGATAGCAGTGGTAGACAGCAAATACGGTAATGCCATCTTCAAGCAATAAGCTAAACAATATTTATGCGCTGACGCAGTTTCTATTCCTGTGTTGTTAAAATTATTACGTCATGAATGATATTGATATTATACATTTGATATAAATATTTCGAACGATTTTAGTGTACAGTTTTATTTAGCAAGAATTATGCTCTATGTTCAACATGCAACAAACATGAACATCGCGAGATAATTTTTATGGTAATAGCGCTTATTTGTCGCAATGTGTAAGCTACATAAGAGAATGTCAAACTATGTCAACACAATTGACATTGTCACAGAATTAAAAATAAATAGAAAGAGAAGAGTCAGTATATAAAAGAATCATTTTTATAGCTCGCATAATAATTAGAAATATATGAATAACATTTTTTAAATAATTTTTTATATATAATTTATTGAAATTTTTAAATCACTTGATTTAAAAAAAGTCATTGTAAAAATTACAATATTAAAAATAATAATTATATATAAAAGTATTGGCAACAAATAAAAAATAAAATATGTTTTTTCATAGATTATATTCATAAGGCGAGTATGTGCAGAAAGAAAATTCAAAGTGATAGACAATTTGGCAACGTGGATTACACACAACTTACGGAAACCGATAATGGTTTCTTTGATTCACAAGTATGTAAAAAATAATATAAGAATTACAAAATATAATATATTTGCATTATTATTCGATGATACCTTATGAATACTTATCTTTATACATCTATATACATCTTGTTAAAATATCACGTTTGAAATATTTATTTTATATAACTAATCTCTTTTAATAGTTTGTAAGTCCACCAGTGAAGATACCATGGAAGGCTATTACATTAGCGGCTCTCCTATTTGTGGGAGGTACCGTTATGCTCATTATGGGAAGTTTGATTGTGAGTGGACGCATTGATTCAAAAGTAAGATTTATCTCATTATTATAGATATTATAGAAAATTCTAATTACATGTGATGACATTTTATTTTTTTAATCAATAATTTGAACAAATATATAGAATTACTGTCTGATAAATACATATAAAAATATGGAAATTTGTATTTTAAAGAGAACACATTTATCAAAATTACAGGTATTGTAGAAAAAAATCTTGTTTATGTTACAGTATTCGGATCGCATGTGGCCAGTGATAATTTTAGGGGCCTTGATGTTTATACCAGGAGCTTATCATATGAGGGTAGCTATATTAGCATATCAGAAAGTACCTGGCTATTCTTTTGATGATATACCAGAGTTTGATTGAATGATTATGTATATATATGCACATAGTACTTATTTATTAATTTTAATTTATATTGTGTATCGAAAAATGCATTTAATATAAAAAAATCTACTTGTGCAATAGATAAAAGATTTAAAGAATATATAAAAATACTATAAAAAATTGCTTTTTTTTATCTTGAAGCATTTATATAATGTACACTTAAATATATATATATTTCCTTATTAAAGAAAGATATATAAATTGTGTGACAACAATATAATACTGCTATCTATTTTTTATAAAATATTTCAAAATATCTACAGAGATGTGTTAATATTTTATATAATTAATACAAATATCAAAAAGCTATTCCATGAATACATTATAAATATGTTTAAAAGATTTTCAAAATATAAATTTATCTGTGTGTATTTACAAAAACTGTGATTATAGTATGGAAATGTATATTCGCTAAAGTTCTATAAACTTGTACGTTTATGTGCTCATATACTGCTTTCAACTTGGTAAATGCACTATTAATAAGAATTAATTATAATACACATATGTATACATGTACACATACATAAAATAAAAATTCTTAACTCTTAAACACTTAATTTAATATTCATGTCTTTATTGTTAATTATTTTTTATATAATTTTTTTACAGGATAAATAGCTAATCCATAACTTTATTTCAAAATTTATATATAAAATTATATAAGCAATATATATGTATATATATAATATATTTATGTTCTTGTGACAAAAGTTATATTATAAGAATGTAAATGAGTCAAAAAATAAAAATTAATATAAGAAAATCTCTGCATGCCCATAACATTTAAAGCAATTATAATATATAATGTTATATATAATATGCAGATAAATATTGAAAATAAGAAAATTTTATAAAAGTACAATATTTAAAAAATAGAAATAAAAAGTAGATTTATAAAGGTATTAAATCATATAAATAATATGCAATTATTAAATCACATAAATAATACGCATAAAAATATATATCTTAATATAGATATTTTGTACACTTTATGTATATTTTTATAGTTAAAAAATTTCTTTAATACTGCAATTAAATTATAAATATAATTCAAATACATAAAGTGCACGGAGAGAGAGAGAGAAAGAGAAATGTATGCAATATAATATAAAACTTCACATTTTGAGTAATAAAACTTACAGTATTTTTCTCAGTGTTGAATATTGAAATAGATTAATTTCTAATCTCTATTTGATTTTTACTTGCTTATTTTTGCATTACACTTTTGTTCATAGATATGATTTTAATTGCAATGTTCTGATTTCAAATAATTTATAAGACTTGTACTCTGTAACTTTCCTATTCTACCTTTAACATTTGACTTCATTAGTAATATAGGCGGATCAAATCGTTTCTTTAAGACATTTTTAATTAATGCCTTTGCATTCATAATAGCCTTATTATTATAATGGCTTTGTAGTTCAGCGCAATAAAACTGTTTATTCGTTTTTATCTGTAAATTAAGATATAATAATATAATATAATTGAGTATAAAATAAAAAACATTATTACAGATCAGCTTTTTATGTTATTTATTTTTTGCTTTTCTATTATTTACTGTTTTAGATTTTAATTTGTTCTTGCATTTGTTAATAAAATTGTAATTCTGTACTATATGTAGTATGAGAAAACAAAAAATTAAAATTGCATATCGTGATCATGTAAATAAAGAAGTGAAAAATTAATGTAAGAAATAGTAAATAATAGGAAAAGAAAAAATAAGGCAATAAGAAAGGAAGAAAAGACTAATTATATATTATATTCAATAATTATATTCTATATATATATATATATATATATATATATATATATATATATATATAATATTAAATGTGTGAAGTGCTGTAGAAATTTAATCTTCTTCTTTAGAGAAAATTCTGTTTGTTAATGCTTACCTCTAAAATGAAGTATACTTTGATTTCACGAGGTTTAGCAAATTCAATCGCGTGTCCAAAATTCATTATAAGATTTTTTAATAATTGTAAAAATATAAGATATATTTCTTCTTCTGTTAAGTCGGTATTTATAATAGTGTGTATTATTGGCAGCAACTATACCAAAAACAAGAAAAAAGAGGGATAGAAAAAATAAAATAAATATATCAAATATAATTTAAAAGTTACTAGATTGCTAAAAAATAAACGAAAAAAGTAAAAGTACTTTTTGTGCCAGAAATCTTTTTTTATGGATTGAAATTTTTTTTTTCTTTCTTGTATAAATTTATAAGTAAAATCATAAATCTTTACCTTCATTGTTGAATAGATACCCATACCTTCCGCATAATTATATATCTGTCTGGCTAAAACTTCGTCTATATGAATTATTGTTGAAAGTAGTGCACGACACGTTGTTGTACTTAACGCAAAATTATGTTTAAGTATTACGTTGCTCATTTCTGTTATTAAATTCGTATCATTTTTTGATAAAGATAATACAATTAATTTGTCCACATAACGAGATAAATCTAAAACATAAGATAAGTCTTTATTATTATACATGTTACTGAGAATATAGTATAGTTATATAAGTGACATATAGTGTTAATAAGTGATATATGATAAAAAATACAAATGTAACAATTATAAATATATAATTTATAAACATAAAAATGCATATATAAGAGTTTACTTTACCTATTGGATTATAATAACTGGATTGATCTTTAAGTAAAAATTGGAAAAGAAAGAAAGCATATTCAAGGAATTCATTACAAAATAAATCCAACAGAATGCATATTATTTTGTTCCTTACGTATTCATCATTAATAGTGCTGTTAACATGCCATCTATCACGACTTGTACATATTATATTCTGATCTGAAAAAAATACAGAAAAATAAATAATACATGTATATATACTATGTGAGTGAGTGTGTATGTGTGTGTGCGCGTGCACGCGCGTGGGTATGTAAATATATATATACATCATAAATAAATGATAACAAACTTAAAAGCAACTAAAATATATTTGCTGTGTATTGATTTGTTGTAGCATTTTCTTATATTCTCTAATAATATGAATTTAAAAAATCAAACATGTTTAACATGAAAAATAATCGATAAAATATAAGATAGTATCTATTCTATTCTATTTTTATATTAAAAAGAGCATTTATGGATATTTCCTTTATATATATCTTTCCTCATTTATGTATATTAACATTTATAGAAAGAAACAGAATTGTGCATTTGCAAGAGGAATGAACTCACATTTAAGTAAATCGCATGCCTTCACTGCCTTATTATTAGCTAAATAAATTTCAGCCGATAGTAGAAAATATTTTGCGTTATATGGTAAATTATATATATTAAGTAATTGAATGAATTGGAGAGCAAGTCCCCAAGCCTCTTCATCCACTAAACTGGTCAATATGTTTAATCCTATGTCGAGCAAGATTTTACCTAGAATGCTGAAGATACCTATTTGGACTGAAATGTCCAAATACGAATTAGGTGAGATTATAAATAAAAAAGATTTAGTTATATATAGAGATTTATTTATTTTAATACTTTACAATATATAACATAAATGATAATGCGATAATAAAATATATATATTTATATATATTATTTATATTATATAAGAGATATTCATATATATGTAATAAAAAATGCTTTCCTAGTTATTAAAAAAAAATGCATATATCTTTAATAATATTGATAAATAAAAAAGAAAGAATCATTAATTATGAGATTCTAATTTTGACATATATAACTCTTGATATTTTAAATCTGTATAAAGGATATATATTATTTGCATCAGAGGTTAAAATTAGTTATATTTCTGTATGTGCAAAATAATAGTAGTTGAATTTATATATGTAAAAGTTAATCAGTTTCATATTATAGTTATTTGTTAAAAAGTGATAAAGAAACTATAATATTATCTATACTATATATATATTATGTAATATATCCTCTCTCTATAAGTGTATCTTTATTAAAATATTGATTACCTGTTAGCGTTAGGATGTTTTTTAAATGATATTCTGAACGTTTTATATTTCGAAGTATAAGACAACATTTACTAACAAATAACTCACTTTCCCGTTTTTCTGTATAATTTTTTAAGATATCAATAATATAATTGTAATCTTCATGTATAAGCCCCTTTTCAAATCGTTCTAAATCCATATAAAATTTCCAGAAACGTTCGTGATCTCTATACATAGATCGCGCATAGGGTGCATCTAGAAAAAAAATATATAAATATAATGATAATGTATTCTATACTTTTAAAAAAATGTATACACATGTATATACATGTATATGTATACATATGTGTATATACATATTCTCATAAATAATCGATAGTAAAATGAAGTATATACATATTCTCATAAATAATCGATAGTAAAATGAAGTAATTACCAATAGGTTGCATGAAACCATATATATATGGTTTTGGTACATTTACATCTTGAGTTATATGATTCTCATTTTGATTTACATCAGTTTCATTTTGGTTTACATCAGTTTCATTTTGGTTTACATCAGTTTCATTTTGGTTTACATCAGTTTCATTGATAGAACTAACATATCTTATTGGAGGTTCTTGTTGTGTGAAGTTTATACTTGGGTCAGGAGAATCAGGAGAAGCAATGGTTTCTGTTGTTATTAAACTTTCCCCAAAATTTTGAGTCAATACTTCAGAATTTTTTGCAGTTTTTTCAACTAACATATTTTTAAAACATTTCATTACATATTGATTCAATGTTGATATTAATGTATAATCAAGTTTACTTATCAAGTTACTATTAACATCTTGAATCTTTTGTAATTCTTTATTTCTTACACATTCATATAGTATTTGGTCAATGATATGTTTAGGAACATTTGATTGCAATGTTAAAATTAAATTTCTAGTAGTATTCCAATATTCACCAGGTTTCACATATTTAATTACAGTCAGTAATATGTTGTTAAGCTCTTTTAAATTTTTAGTGGGCAAAATATGTGTCATCATACAGTCGACGATAGTTTTTAATGATATTTGTCTACTTAATAGTTCTTCGATAATATTAGAAGCAATATTTTTTCTCGACCATCTTGTGAATTCCTTTCTCCAATTAACGTTCCAATTGTCATAAAGCATCTTGTATGTTATTAAAATTTCATCAATATTTAACTTTTTTAATAAAGCTATATATACTTCTTCACAAAAATAATTAAAATTCTGTGTTAATGCTTCTGGCATTATGTCAAGAATTGTTCTAGTATCCTCCGAATTAATTATTTGAAATATTTCTTTTATCTAGAAATGAGAAATTATATTACGATATATGATATAAATAATTATATTAAACAATATTAAAATAAAAATAAAAATAAAAAACCGAATAAATATACTTACATCATGATTAAATGTACACTGATAATGATTTTTGTAACATGTACCACATTTTAATACCAGATAACAATATCCCTTGATAAAATCGTAAAGAGTTTTCTTTTTTGAATAAATGTTTTTAATTTGTGATGATTTTGATTGTATTGCAGTTGCAGGTACACAATATGTATTTAAAACTTGTGTAGATTGATTATTGGATATTTCATTTGCTTTATCAGATTTCAAAGATTCTGTATCATTTTTTATGCATTTTGCATATTCTTTATTAAATTCTTTGTTATTCTCTTTCACATACTTATCGAAACTACTAGCAGTCATCGTATATGGTACATCAGAATGTAGAGATTTAGATGATTTGTCCTTCTCATTCAAAAATATATCTTCACATCTATAATAATACATTTTTAAATATATGAATATTTACTTTATACTTAGATTAATTTCATTATTAGAATTAATAACTATTCCAAAATATTTTATTTAAAAAGTTATAAATTTAATAAAAAAAACTTTAAATTCAAAAAGAATTTAATTATAATATATATTATTATATAATATTATTTCTTATATATTATTTTTCTAGTCTATTACTTACTGGCTTGTATCAAATTCTGCAAAAGATTCTGCAAAAAGAGAAATGCAATCATCATCTTCATCATCACTTGCAACACTTGAGCTAGGGTTCTCTTGGGCATCACTTTTCTTTTCATATAAAGTTCCATTTAAAGTTGATTCTTCTTTGACAGAAAGTTTTTTGCAAACTTCCTCATTTGCTACTGCATTTATTATATAATTAAAAAAAAAGAACAATTATTTTTATTGATTAAATCTATTTACTTAGAAATGCATTATATTTCAATTGTTATACTTACTTTCAACTGTAGGCTTTAACTTAAAACTTTTTTCTGATTTCATTTGATTCAAAAATTTACGTAAATCTGGTCTTTCTTCTTGATTATATTTTTTAGTTTTATTTGTTTCTACTGTTGTATTTGTCGTAACACTACTTAAAGAATCATTATCTTGTTGATAATTACTCGATTTAAATGCTACACTTTGTAGCCAACTGTTCCTATTTAATTTCATTTTTTTACTACTCTGATTACAATCTTTTTCTTTCAGAGTACGCTTTAGAGGTTTTTTTAGTAATATGTTCCCTTCTTTGCTTGCGAGTATTGATGATGTACTAATATAGTTTTCATCATCAATATCCATAAGATCTGAAACATTCTTGTTTAATATGTTTTTAGTACATTTTTCTTCACATTTTCTATTGTCTTGTAATATGTTATTCTCATGTATTTCAGTGTTATTGGTAAATCTATTTAATTGTTCCTGATTACTTAACGTATAGTTTTCATGTGTCATTATTATTTCACCAATATTATTAATACTTATATCACCATTATTTTTTACTTTTGTCGCAGAATTTAAATTTCTATAATCAATAAGTTTACTATGTGACTTATTATTTGATAAGTCTTTATCTTTTAAATCAACATTATTATTATCTTTTAAATCAACATTACTATTAAGTGGACTTGATATTTTTAAAGTATCAAATGATTCATTTATTTCATGGGATGTATGATGTTTTTTTTCTCTAATATTTTCAATTGTAGTAATAATTTCTGTTGTATCATTACAAAAAGTTTGAGCTATACTTTTATCATTATTACATCTTGTTTTTACATCTTGTTCTAAAGAGATCTGTGTAGGAATATTGCTCTGTAAGCTGTTATTTATTCGTAATTTTTCAATTCTCACTCCTTTTAGAATTTTTATTCCTTTTGGTAAAACACAATTTGCAATTATCTTTGGTAGATTTTGTTTTATTGGCGTCAATGTCTCATTTTTTGATGACTTTCCTCCACATGTAGTTTGTACTATATTATCTATAATTAAAAATATGCTTTTATTATTCAACTTTTTTATTTGCTAGTCTTTTCTCTTATTCATTTTATTATATAATTAAAAAATTATGAGTAGAATAGAGATCTTTAAATTTTACTTTTATTCCAATACCTATTAGTTACACTTAAAAAACTTTATTTTTAAAATTTTGCATTTAATACATTTAAAGATATAATTCAAAAATTTTGATGTGAAATTATTTTTTAGCATTTCTATTATTATTGTTATATATAAAGAAGAAAAAATAATATTATATTTAAACAATATACACATACCTTTGCTGTTTTGACTCTTCTCATACAATTCTTGTTTTATTTTGCAGTTTATTTCATCAGAAAAATTAAATAGATGTAAATTATTATTACATTGTTTATATGTAATAGATTTGCTAGACATCTCTTGCATATTGCTATTATAATCAGTAACAGTTAAATTTTTCTTATCCAAACAATTTTCATTAGAACCCATTTTGATTGACCTTATATCTGCATCTATTTACGAAAAAAATAAATATATAAAATAAAGTAATATTATAATATATAATAAAATACAAAAATAAACTTACTGCATGTTCCATCTGGCCTATTCAAATTTAATATCTTTAATTTAATTTTAGAATCTAATTTCTTGTTTTTTTCTGTGTTTGGTCTTCTAACATTTTTATTATTCAATATAGTCATTTTTTGCATATAAGTAAAATGTGTATCTGTAGATGTAGTACTAGATGTTTCATTAGTATTTGTACTAGAAAATGATTCAACATTGCTATGATGTATTAATTGCTGTTCCGGTGCTATGCATTTTGATAATATAAATTTTGGAGTTGCTTCATAATATTGATAGTTTAAAGATATATTTTTGTTTATTTCTTTGCCACTTTGTTGGGATTTAATTTTTTTATAATCTTTTCTCTCTTTTTTTAAATTTTTTGTTATTGTATATTTTTCATTCTTTGTAGCATTTTTTTTTCGTGTATTTTTTTTTATCAACTGTTTATCAGTAGATATGTTAGAATGTAGAGATGTATTAATACATGATGCTGATTGTTTTGACAATTGCTCTTTCTTTAAAGGTAAATGTAACTGATAGCGTTGAATTAAATCTGTTTCTAAGGCAATGTCATGTAGTACAACAGTACATGCACGAATCCCTTTTGATATAGAATTACTCTTCTCTTGTGTCTTTTTTTTGCGTGTCATTATGTCTTATTATATATTTATTATATATGTCTTGCTATTAATTTAAATAATTTAAAAAGTTTCCTCTCTCTTTCTCTTTTTATTAGCACTAATAAAAAATTTTATATATCTGATTTAAAAGCACATGTTTTCATCATTCTGGTTTCTCAAGAAAAGTCATGTATGATAAAATATTTGCATTATCATATCATAATTAAACTGCATAAAAAATCATGGATAGATGTAAATTATAGAACCTAGAAATATGCCATTAATACAACAATAAAATATAATATACATATCAATGTAAAGAGTTCTCATATTAAAATTGTGTATAAAAATATTATTTAAAAAAAACTACACGATATTTCGTATAATAAAAACTCTGAATATCAGATTTTATTAATACTACAGGCAAGGAATTTCCAGAATCACTTTACGATACGCAATTTCTTTTCAATACATACATTTTATCATCGTGCAATCTTCTTGTACGTACATACCGATACGAATCGTGAAACTGCAGTCACTTCTTCTTCCTTAGATTTTGACCACCTCTGATCTGGGAGCGATCAGTGTATTCAAACCAACAACTGGTTTGAACGAGAGAATGATGTATAGTGAATAAAAAGGTGATGTATCAAAACTGCAGTCACTGATTTCACGGAATCTTCCTCGGGTTAGCCGCGTAAACTTTCAAGTTCCTCATTTCGAGAATCGCAAGCAAATGATATCGATATCTGCATGATAGCGCCGCCAGCTTGATGTTACATGAGCACGGTACTATTATAATGATCTGCGTCGATTGGTTGTCGGATAGAGAATTTCCTAGATGCCTAATAGAGATTCCAATAATTCTCCATTCGATAGCCGTGTGGTATGTTGGACAATCTTTTTGTCGTACGAATAATATCGCCCTTATATTGTTATGTCAGACTGTAAGTGATACTCTTTATCGGTATCTTCTCAGAAACGGAAAACAATGAGATAGGAATTTATCCTTCAGAGGTTGTCATAACGTGCTTTAGTTTTTATTTATAAATTATTCAAAATATATAATATGCAATAATCAATTTTTTATATGACCATTGAATAAACGCAAATGTCAGGAATTATTTTTCAAGTATATATATTTGATGATAAAGTTCATGTTTGCGGAAAAAATTAATAGAATCGTTATTGAGAATCACTGTTCGAACTTGGCGTAATCTTATATGCTAGTCACAGATTTCTCGCATGTAAGCGAAGAAAGATGTAAGCGAAGAAAAAAAGGAAGAAGAAATCATCACAAAAGAAAAAATCTACATATAAAACACGTAAACACAATAAAAAAAAAGCTAACTTGTCGTTTGAGTCATAATAGTATGCTCGAGAAAAATTGCCAATATAATATATTAAAATAAAAGTGATGTCTTTTTGAAAAATGACGGATTGATATTTTTCTTTTTAATCACACGACGTCTCCTTTAAAAATGAAATAAAAATGAACATTACTGTCAATAAATTTGACTTTTATAATCAAATTTATTAAATTTTTTTTCTTTCTTTTAAACTTTCTTTTAAACTTTAAATATATATCCATCTTACTTTATTCCGTTACAGTTCAGTGATTGGCTAAGGCAGATAGAGAATTTCTCGAATTCCTCTAGTTAGAACTATAGGAACTCTATCTTACAGCCAATCTGCGTCGAATAAATTTTTCTTGCACACAAATATAATATCCGCTTAAGTTGCCGGCATTGGTGTCGCCAGAAATCGATATATCATCGTTTGCGATTCTCGAAGTAAAAAACTTGAATCTTCCGCGTGTGACGAATTCAACAAGATTTTATACAATTCAGTATATACAATTGTGTATAAGTTTGCGAGTGATTATTTAAATACAAGATTGAAATATTTGATCGCGAGTAATACGTGCATATAATGTGTATATAATGTGTCTACGCTTCGATTGAAGGTAAGACGTAGATTATATAGTCTATATATAGTATATATAATATATTATGCAAAAATATGTACTATATACATATATACTATATATATATATATATATATATATATATATATACACACATACATACATACATACATACATACATACATACATACATACATACACATATATATAGTATATATGTATATATATATGTGTATATTTAAAAAAATATTTAATAGAAAAAAAATATTCCTGAGTTTTCTCTTTCTGTTCTCCTTTCTCTCTCTCTCTCTCTCTCTCTCTCTCTCTCTCTTTTTTTCTCTCTGACAAAGTAAAATGCATAATAATACAACATTGTTTAAAAGAAAATATACTTCACATAATAAAAAGTATATTAGATTATTATTATATAAATCAAAAAACTATCATAAAACTTTTTACGATATGAATAATGTTTTTCAATAAAATATATTAATTGTCTTACACATCATATATTATTATTATTGTATATATATATATATATATATATATATATATATGTACATATATATTTATATAGTATATATTCGCGTAATATATTATATTAATATATGATGTGCAAGACAATTAATATATTTTATTGAAAAACATTATACATATCGTAAAAAGTTTTATGATAGTTTTTTTATTTATATAATAATAATCTAATATACTTTTTATTATGTGAAGTATATTTTCTTTTAAACAATGTTGTATTATTATGCATTTTACTTTGTCAGAGAGAAAAAAAGAGAGAGAAAGAAATAAAGGAGAACAGAAAGAGAAAACTCAGGAATATTTTTTTTCTATTAAATATTTTTTTCTATATAAATTAATGAAATTATGTCATGGATATATTTTTTATAGAAATTATATATATTTATTTATCGTCAAATTATATATATATATATATATATATATAGTATATTTATAATTTTCAAAGATTTTTATTACACAAGAATTGTTTTACAATAACGAATATTGATAAAAGTATATGTATAGAAATAATAGTTTATATTCTTATTTTTTTTAAGTTTTAACCATATTTTTGAGATAATAAAGTCGTACCTACATAAAATACTTCATGATGACTGATAAATACTTTAAATAGCGTAAATTGTCTATTATCATTTTTCTGTTTGCAAAGTTGGGTATTCAATGCGTTCACAACGTCTTGAAACATTTGAAAATACTTGTCCATTGGAACATTTAAAGAGATATCCTTGAATTACACCATGCGAATCACGTTTACATTTATAATATGCCTCGGAACTGTCTTTACTATAAGGATAATGACCTTGTCCTGGACATAATTTTCTCGTAGGGGCTTTTAGCTGAAAATAAAAATTAATCACATAAACTTTTCTCATTCATACAAATACACTTTCCAGATAAACTAATTAGAAATGTATAATATTATTATAGATAGTTTTCAAGAAATTTTTAACGATTATTTTCCTAATTATGGTTGTAACTTTTATTATTTACTTAAATGTACGTAAAATTTATACTTAATTAGAAATCAGTAATTTTTATAATTTAATTATGGTTATATAATTTTTATATGGTTTTATATTTTTTGAAAGATTCTCTGTGTAAATTTTATAACTATTTTATATTTAAAATTTTTTATATAATTAAAAGAAATTTAATAATTAATATTATTAAAACTGCATTTATAAAAACGTTAACTTTACACAAAATTGAGAGTTTGAAAGCACATATGCTATCCTTTCCAATACTGTAAGTAATTTGTTCTAATTTATTGAATATTATAATTTATAACAAATTATAAAGATATATTATATAAAGATATATTAACAGAAAAAAGTATTAAAAATTTTATTTTGCAGAATTAAATAGTTATATAATTTAACAAAACTGAATGACTATTTAATTTCTTTATTAATTGTTTCATTATTAAAAAAATAAAAGAATATAATTATTTTTATAGAATATAATTATTTTTATAAATTTCAGTAATTCGAATTCACGATTAGAATAGATGATGATATAACATATCTGACAAAATATATACTTAAACAATAAATATATAGGTATGTAAATATATAAGTTAATCATAGAAAATAGTATAATTATTTCATACTTACAAATGCATTTGACATATCTGCAGAGGAATCAAAATTCTTACATTTAATGTACGAATATAGAATTTTATGGAAGCTTCCTTCATTCACACATTGTATCTTTTTATCATCAAAAATTCTGCCTTCTGGACAGATGAATATAATAACTTTAGTATGTATACTATTTGCTGTGGTACATTGATAGAAAAGATTGCAATATCTTGGATGACGTTGGAAACCAGTTGGACAAACTAAATCCATTTGATCTCCAATCAAATTTCCAATAGGATAAGGTAATTCAGTAGAAATAGTTGATTCTGTCGGAGGTTCGGTAGCTGTTGAGAAGTTAGTAATAGTTTGTTTTTCATTATCATTACTTTCTCCATTATCATTAATTTCTCTCTTGAATAAAACCACCGTCTTTGATGATGATTCATTGTTTTTACATGACAAATGTTTTACAGCCGATGGAAAATTGCAAATTGTATTATCTTGATCCCATACTGTTCCTCGAGGACAATCAAAGTCTATCTTTTTCAATGCTTTCGATTCTACTTCCACGCATCTATAATATTTTGTACAATCATTGAGATTTGGAAAAAAACCAGGGGACACACAATCTGAAACAAACTCATTTGGTCTTTTTTCGATTTCTGGATCATTTTCTGACGGAATCTGTGTAGTTGATATTGCGCTCTCAGAGTTTTCATTATTCTGACTATCTTTGCTTGCGGATTGATATTCGGTTGAAATCTGAGGGGTAGTTATTTTATTTCCGTTACAATTGTTGTTTGTCTTCTCATTGTTTTCAGATTTATCTTTGATTGGAATCTGTGGAGTGGTAATTTTATTTTCGTCGTCGTTTTTATTCTTATTGTCTTCCTTGCTCCCCGATTGATTTTCGGTTGGAAACTGAGGAGTGGTTATTTTATTTTCGTTGTTCTTATTATTCTCGTTGTTTTCTTTACTTCCGGATTGATTTTCGATAGATATTTGTGGGGTAGTTATTTTATTTCCGCCACTAATATTTTCGTTGTCCTTTTCACTTCCGGAATGATTTTCAGTTGCTACATGAGGATTAGTTTCTTTGCTTCCAGATTCATCTTTGGTTGAAAAGTGTGGAGTGGTTATTTTATTTTCGTCCTTATTATTTTCGTTGTCTCCTTTGCTTCCGGATTGACTTTCTGTTGTAATCTGAGGAATGATTATCTTATTCTTGTCATTGTCAATGTTTTTGCTGTCCTCTTTACTCTCGGGAAGATTTTCGGTAAGAATATGGGAAGTAGTTATTTTATTTCCGCTGCAATCGTTATTCTTGCTACTCTCGTTGTTTCCAGATTCATCTTTGGTTGGAATCTGTGGAGTGGTTATTTTATTTTCGTCGTTGTCCCTACTCTTGTCCTCCTTGCTCTCCGATAGATTTTTAGTTGGAAACTCAGGAGTGGTTATTTTATTTTCGTTACTATCACTATTTTTGCCATTCCCTTCACTTCCAGACAGATTTTCTGTTGAAAGTTGAGGAGTAGATGTTTTATTTTCGTTACTTTGGTTATTCTCGTTATCTTCATTTCTTTCGGATTGTTTTTCAGTTGGAATCCGAAGGGTGGTTATTTTATTTTCGTTGCTATCACTATTTTTATTGTCTTTTTTATCTTCGGGAAGATTTTCGGTTGAAATATGAGGAACAGTTATCATATTTTCGCTACCATCGTTGTTCTTGCTATTCTCGTTGCTTGCAGATTCATCTTTTGTTGAAATCTGTGGAGTAGTTATTTTATTTTCGTCGCTGATCCTATTCTTGTCCTCCTTGCTTTCTGATTGATTTTCAGTTGAAAGTTTAGGAGTGATTACTTTATTTTCGCTGCTCTTATTATTCTCGTTATCTTCTTTACTTCCGGATTGATTTTCAGTTGGAATCTGAGAGGTGGTTGTTTTATTTTCACCGTCATTACTATTTTTGTTGTCCTCTTTACTTTCAGAAAGTTTTTCGGTTGAACTATAGGGGGTAGTTATTTTATTCCCACAAATGTTAGTCTTGCTATTTTCGCTACTTTCAAATTCATCTTTGGTTGGAATCTGTGGAGTGGTTATTTTATTTTCGTTGCTCTTATTATTCTTGTTGTCTTCATTGCTTTCGGATTTAATTGGAGGAGTGGTTATTTTATTTTCGCCGCTATTACTATTTTTGTTGTCCTCTTTACTTCCGGAAAGATTTTTTGTTGGAATATAGGGGGTGGTTATTTTATTTCCGCTATTTTCATTATTTTCGCTATTTTCTTTTCTTTCGGATTGATTTTCTGTGGGAATTTCAGTTATGTTCATTTTATTTTCGCTGCTCTTGTTATTCTCATTGTCTTCATTATTTGTGAACTGATTTTCGGTTGAACTCTGAGGGGTGGTGAATTCATTTTCGCCATTATTTTCGCTTTTCTCTTTACTTCCGGAAAAATTTTCGGTTTGAATATGACTGGTAGTTAATTTATTTTCGCTGCCGTCATTATTTTTGTTATTCTCGTTGCTTGCAGATACATCTTTGGTTGGAATCTGTGAAGTGGTTATTTTATCTTCGTCGCTGTTTTTATTCTTGTCCTCCTTGCTTTCCGATTGATGTTCAATTGGAAATTGAGGACTGGAAATTTTTCTTTCGCTGCTGTCATCATTTCTGCCATTTTCCTTGCTGTTGGATTGATTCTCAGTAGGTATCTTAGGAATAGTAATTTCATCACTTTGATCATCCTCCTTGCTTCCGGAATATTCTTCTAACGAGACGAGTTGTGTAGTGAACCGTTCCGTTGTGAGTCCTATTTCTTTGCTTGTATCTTTCTCCTTTTTAGGGTGTTTCGTATGTTTTTCATTGCTACTCGAGTCTTCATGACTATGTTTACCTTTATTCTCTTTTTTGTCGCTTTGTTTATCATTTTTATTACTGTTCTCTTTACTGTTGGATTGATTCCCAGGAGGAATCTTAGGGATAGTCATTTCATCGCTCTGATCATCCTCCTTGCTTCCAGAATATTCCTCTGGCGAGACACGTTGTGTGGTGATTTTTTGCGTAGTGATTTCTATTTCCTTGCTCGCATCTTTCTCCTTTTTAGGTTTTTTCGTATGTTTTTCATTGCTACCGGAGTCTTCACGACTATGCTTATCTTTTTTCTTGTTTTTGTCACTTTGATTATCATTTATATTATCGTCACTTTGATTATCATTTTTATTATCGTTCTCTTCACTGTTGGATTGATTATCAGGGGGAATCTTAGGGATAGTAATTTCATCGCTCTGATCATCCTCCTTGCTTCCAGAATATTCCTCTAGCGAGACGCGTTGTGTAGTGATATGTTGCGTTGTGATTTCTATTTCCTTGCTTGCATCGTTCTCCTTTTTAGGTTTTTTCGTATGTTTTTCATTGCTACCGGAGTCTTCACGACTATGCTTATCTTTTTTCTTGTTTTTGTCACTTTGATTATCATTTATATTATCGTCACTTTGATTATCATTTTTATTATCGTTCTCTTCACTGTTGGATTGATTATCAGGGGGAATCTTAGGGATAGTAATTTCATCGCTCTGATCATCCTCCTTGCTTCCAGAATATTCCTCTAGCGAGACGCGTTGTGTAGTGATATGTTGCGTTGTGATTTCTATTTCCTTGCTTGCATCGTTCTCCTTTTTAGGTTTTTTCGTATGTTTTTCACTGCTACTTGAGTCTTCATGACTATGTTTATCTTTCTTCTTGTTTTTGTCACTTTGATTATCATTTTCATTACTGTGCTCTTCACTGTTGGATTGATTCCCAGGAGGAATCTTAGGGATAGTAATTTCATCGCTCTGATCATCCTCCTTGCTTCCGGAATAATCCTCTGGCAATATGTGTTGTGTAGTGATTTGTTGCGTTGTGATTTCTATTTCCTTGCTTGCATCGTTCTCCTTTTTAGGTTTTTTCGTATGTTTTTCATTGCTACTTGAGCCTTCATGACTATGTTTATCTTTCTTCTTGTTTTTGTCACTTTGGTTATCATTTTCATTACTGTGCTCTTCACTGTTGGATTGATTCCCAGGAGGAATCTTAGGGATAGTAATTTCATCGCTCTGATCATCCTCCTTGCTTCCGGAATAATCCTCTGGCAATATGTGTTGTGTAGTGATTTGTTGCGTTGTGATTTCTATTTCCTTGCTTGCATCGTTCTCCTTTTCAGGTTTTTTCGTATGTTTTTCATTGCTACTTGAGTCTTCATGACTATGTTTATCTTTCTTCTTGTTTTTGTCACTTTGGTTATCATTTTCATTACTGTGCTCTTCACTGTTGGATTGATTCCCAGGAGGAATCTTAGGGATAGTAATTTCATCGCTCTGATCATCCTCCTTGCTTCCGGAATAATCCTCTGGCAATATGTGTTGTGTAGTGATTTGTTGCGTTGTGATTTCTATTTCCTTGCTTGCATCGTTCTCCTTTTTAGGTTTTTTCGTATGTTTTTCATTGCTACTTGAGTCTTCATGATTATGTTTATCTTTCTTCTTGTTTTTGTCACTTTGGTTATCATTTTCATTACTGTGCTCTTCACTGTTGGATTGATTCCCAGGAGGAATCTTAGGGATAGTAATTTCATCGCTCTGATCATCCTCCTTGCTTTCAGAATATTCCTCTGGCGAGACACGTTGTGTAGTGATTCGTTCCGTTGTGAATCCCATTTCTTTGCTTGCATCTTTCTCCTTTTTAGGTTTTTTCGTATGTTTTTCATTGCTATTCGAGTCTTCATGACTATGTTTATCTTTCTTCTCGTTTTTGTCACTTTGGTTATCATTTTTATTACTGTTCTCTTTACTGTTGGATTGATTCCCAGGAGGAATCTTAGGGATAGTAATTTCATCGCTCTGATCATCCTCCTTGCTTCCGGAATAATCCTCTGGCAAGATGTGTTGTGTAGTGATTTGTTGCGTTGTGATTTCTATTTCCTTGCTTGCATCGTTCTCCTTTTTAGGTTTTTTCGTATGTTTTTCATTGCTACTTGAGTCTTCATGATTATGTTTATCTTTCTTCTTGTTTTTGTCACTTTGGTTATCATTTTCATTACTGTGCTCTTCACTGTTGGATTGATTCCCAGGAGGAATCTTAGGGATAGTAATTTCATCGCTCTGATCATCCTCCTTGCTTTCAGAATATTCCTCTGGCGAGACACGTTGTGTAGTGATTCGTTCCGTTGTGAATCCCATTTCTTTGCTTGCATCTTTCTCCTTTTTAGGTTTTTTCGTATGTTTTTCATTGCTATTCGAGTCTTCATGACTATGTTTATCTTTCTTCTCGTTTTTGTCACTTTGGTTATCATTTTTATTACTGTTCTCTTTACTGTTGGATTGATTCCCAGGAGGAATCTTAGGGATAGTAATTTCATCGCTCTGATCATCCTCCTTGCTTCCGGAATAATCCTCTGGCAAGATGTGTTGTGTAGTGATTTGTTGCGTTGTGATTTCTATTTCCTTGCTTGCATCGTTCTCCTTTTTAGGTTTTTTCGTATGTTTTTCATTGCTACTTGAGTCTTCATGATTATGTTTATCTTTCTTCTTGTTTTTGTCACTTTGGTTATCATTTTCATTACTGTGCTCTTCACTGTTGGATTGATTCCCAGGAGGAATCTTAGGGATAGTAATTTCATCGCTCTGATCATCCTCCTTGCTTTCAGAATATTCCTCTGGCGAGACACGTTGTGTAGTGATTCGTTCCGTTGTGAATCCCATTTCTTTGCTTGCATCTTTCTCCTTTTTAGGTTTTTTCGTATGTTTTTCATTGCTATTCGAGTCTTCATGACTATGTTTATCTTTCTTCTCGTTTTTGTCACTTTGGTTATCATTTTTATTACTGTTCTCTTTACTGTTGGATTGATTCCCAGGAGGAATCTTAGGGATAGTAATTTCATCGCTCTGATCATCCTCCTTGCTTCCGGAATAATCCTCTGGCAAGATGTGTTGTGTAGTGATTTGTTGCGTTGTGATTTCTATTTCCTTGCTTGCATCGTTCTCCTTTTTAGGTTTTTTCGTATGTTTTTCATTGCTACTTGAGTCTTCATGATTATGTTTATCTTTCTTCTTGTTTTTGTCACTTTGGTTATCATTTTCATTACTGTGCTCTTCACTGTTGGATTGATTCCCAGGAGGAATCTTAGGGATAGTAATTTCATCGCTCTGATCATCCTCCTTGCTTCCGGAATAATCCTCTGGCAAGATGTGTTGTGTAGTGATTTGTTGCGTTGTGATTTCTATTTCCTTGCTTGCATCATTCTCCTTTTTAGGTTTTTTCGTATGCTTTTCATTGCTACTGGAGTCTTCATGACTATGTTTATCTTTCTTCTCGTTTTTGTCACTTTGGTTATCATTTTTATTACTGTTCTCTTTACTGTTGGATTGATTCCCAGGAGGTATCTTAGGGATAGTAATTTCATCGCTCTGATCATCCTCCTTGCTTCCGGAATAATCCTCTGGCAAGATGTGTTGTGTAGTGATTTGTTGCGTTGTGATTTCTATTTCCTTGCTTGCATCGTTCTCCTTTTTAGGTTTTTTCGTATGTTTTTCATTGCTACTTGAGTCTTCATGATTATGTTTATCTTTCTTCTTGTTTTTGTCACTTTGGTTATCATTTTCATTACTGTGCTCTTCACTGTTGGATTGATTCCCAGGAGGAATCTTAGGGATAGTAATTTCATCGCTCTGATCATCCTCCTTGCTTTCAGAATATTCCTCTGGCGAGACACGTTGTGTAGTGATTCGTTCCGTTGTGAATCCCATTTCTTTGCTTGCATCTTTCTCCTTTTTAGGTTTTTTCGTATGTTTTTCATTGCTATTCGAGTCTTCATGACTATGTTTATCTTTCTTCTCGTTTTTGTCACTTTGGTTATCATTTTTATTACTGTTCTCTTTACTGTTGGATTGATTCCCAGGAGGAATCTTAGGGATAGTAATTTCATCGCTCTGATCATCCTCCTTGCTTCCGGAATAATCCTCTGGCAAGATGTGTTGTGTAGTGATTTGTTGCGTTGTGATTTCTATTTCCTTGCTTGCATCGTTCTCCTTTTTAGGTTTTTTCGTATGTTTTTCATTGCTACTTGAGTCTTCATGATTATGTTTATCTTTCTTCTTGTTTTTGTCACTTTGGTTATCATTTTCATTACTGTGCTCTTCACTGTTGGATTGATTCCCAGGAGGAATCTTAGGGATAGTAATTTCATCGCTCTGATCATCCTCCTTGCTTTCAGAATATTCCTCTGGCGAGACACGTTGTGTAGTGATTCGTTCCGTTGTGAATCCCATTTCTTTGCTTGCATCTTTCTCCTTTTTAGGTTTTTTCGTATGTTTTTCATTGCTATTCGAGTCTTCATGACTATGTTTATCTTTCTTCTCGTTTTTGTCACTTTGGTTATCATTTTTATTACTGTTCTCTTTACTGTTGGATTGATTCCCAGGAGGAATCTTAGGGATAGTAATTTCATCGCTCTGATCATCCTCCTTGCTTCCGGAATAATCCTCTGGCAAGATGTGTTGTGTAGTGATTTGTTGCGTTGTGATTTCTATTTCCTTGCTTGCATCGTTCTCCTTTTTAGGTTTTTTCGTATGTTTTTCATTGCTACTTGAGTCTTCATGATTATGTTTATCTTTCTTCTTGTTTTTGTCACTTTGGTTATCATTTTCATTACTGTGCTCTTCACTGTTGGATTGATTCCCAGGAGGAATCTTAGGGATAGTAATTTCATCGCTCTGATCATCCTCCTTGCTTTCAGAATATTCCTCTGGCGAGACACGTTGTGTAGTGATTCGTTCCGTTGTGAATCCCATTTCTTTGCTTGCATCTTTCTCCTTTTTAGGTTTTTTCGTATGTTTTTCATTGCTATTCGAGTCTTCATGACTATGTTTATCTTTCTTCTCGTTTTTGTCACTTTGGTTATCATTTTTATTACTGTTCTCTTTACTGTTGGATTGATTCCCAGGAGGAATCTTAGGGATAGTAATTTCATCGCTCTGATCATCCTCCTTGCTTCCGGAATAATCCTCTGGCAAGATGTGTTGTGTAGTGATTTGTTGCGTTGTGATTTCTATTTCCTTGCTTGCATCGTTCTCCTTTTTAGGTTTTTTCGTATGTTTTTCATTGCTACTTGAGTCTTCATGATTATGTTTATCTTTCTTCTTGTTTTTGTCACTTTGGTTATCATTTTCATTACTGTGCTCTTCACTGTTGGATTGATTCCCAGGAGGAATCTTAGGGATAGTAATTTCATCGCTCTGATCATCCTCCTTGCTTTCAGAATATTCCTCTGGCGAGACACGTTGTGTAGTGATTCGTTCCGTTGTGAATCCCATTTCTTTGCTTGCATCTTTCTCCTTTTTAGGTTTTTTCGTATGTTTTTCATTGCTATTCGAGTCTTCATGACTATGTTTATCTTTCTTCTCGTTTTTGTCACTTTGGTTATCATTTTTATTACTGTTCTCTTTACTGTTGGATTGATTCCCAGGAGGAATCTTAGGGATAGTAATTTCATCGCTCTGATCATCCTCCTTGCTTCCGGAATAATCCTCTGGCAAGATGTGTTGTGTAGTGATTTGTTGCGTTGTGATTTCTATTTCCTTGCTTGCATCGTTCTCCTTTTTAGGTTTTTTCGTATGTTTTTCATTGCTACTTGAGTCTTCATGATTATGTTTATCTTTCTTCTTGTTTTTGTCACTTTGGTTATCATTTTCATTACTGTGCTCTTCACTGTTGGATTGATTCCCAGGAGGAATCTTAGGGATAGTAATTTCATCGCTCTGATCATCCTCCTTGCTTCCGGAATAATCCTCTGGCAAGATGTGTTGTGTAGTGATTTGTTGCGTTGTGATTTCTATTTCCTTGCTTGCATCATTCTCCTTTTTAGGTTTTTTCGTATGCTTTTCATTGCTACTGGAGTCTTCATGACTATGTTTATCTTTCTTCTCGTTTTTGTCACTTTGATTATCATTTTTATTACTGTTCTCTTTACTGTTGGATTGATTCCCAGGAGGTATCTTAGGGATAGTAATTTCATCGCTCTGATCATCCTCCTTGCTTCCGGAATAATCCTCTGGCAAGATGTGTTGTGTAGTGATTTGTTGCGTTGTGATTTCTATTTCCTTGCTTGCATCGTTCTCCTTTTTAGGTTTTTTCGTATGTTTTTCATTGCTACTTGAGTCTTCATGATTATGTTTATCTTTCTTCTTGTTTTTGTCACTTTGGTTATCATTTTCATTACTGTGCTCTTCACTGTTGGATTGATTCCCAGGAGGAATCTTAGGGATAGTAATTTCATCGCTCTGATCATCCTCCTTGCTTCCGGAAAATTCCTCTGGCAAGACGTGTTGTGTAGTGATTTGTTGCGTTGTGATTTCTATTTCCTTGCTTGCATCATTCTCCTTTTTAGGTTTTTTCGTATCCTTTTCATTGCTACTGGAGTCTTCATGACTATGTTTATCTTTCTTCTCGTTTTTGTCACTTTGATTATCATTTTTATTACTGTTCTCTTTACTGTTGGATTGATTCCCAGGAGGTATCTTAGGGATAGTAATTTCATCGCTCTGGTCATCCTCCTTGCTTCCGGAATAATCCTCTGGCGAGACGCGTTGTGTAGTGGTTTGTTGCGTTGTGATCCCTATTTCTTTGCTTGCACCTTTCTCCTTCTTAGGTTTTTTTGCGTGCTTTTCACTGCTGCCCGAATCTTCATGACTATATTTGCCTTTTTTCTCTTTCTTATCACCTTGCTTATCATGTTTATTATTGTTCTCTTTACTGTTGGATTGATTTCCAGGAGGAATCTTAGGAATAGTAAATTCATTGCTCTGATCATCCTCTTTGCTTCCGGAATATTCTTCTGGCGAAACGCGTTGTGTAGTGGTTTGTTGCGTTGTGATCCCTATTTCTTTGCTTGCACCTTTCTCCTTCTTAGGTTTTTTTGCGTGCTTTTCACTGCTGCCCGAATCTTCATGACTATGTTTGCCTTTTTTCTTTTTCTTATCACCTTGCTTATCATGTTTATTATTGTTCTCTTTACTGTTGGATTGATTTCCAGGAGGAATCTTAGGAATAGTAAATTCATTGCTCTGATCATCCTCTTTGCTTCCGGAATATTCTTCTGGCGAAACGCGTTGTGTAGTGGTTTGTTGCGTTGTGATCCCTATTTCTTTGCTTGCACCTTTCTCCTTCTTATGTTTTTTTGCGTGCTTTTCACTGCTGCCCGAATCTTCATGACTATGTTTACCTTTTTTCTCTTTCTTATCACCTTGCTTATCATGTTTATTATTGTTCTCCTTACTGTTGGATTGATTTCCAGGAGGAATCTTAGGAATAGTAAATTCATTGCTCTGATCATCCTCTTTGCTTCCGGAGTATTCTTCTGGCGAAACGCGTTCTGAAGTGCTTCGTTGTGTTGTGATTCCTATTTCTTTGCTTGCATCTTTCTCCTTTTTAGGTTTTTTCGTGTGCTTTTCACCGCTGCTCGAGTCTTCATGACTATGTTTACCTTTTTTCTCTTTTTTATCACCTTGCTTATCATTTATATTATTGTTCTCTTTACTGTTGGATTGATTTCCAGGAGGAATCTTAGGAATAGTAAATTCATTGCTCTGATCATCCTCGTTGCTTCCGGAATATTCTTCTGGCGAAACGCGTTGTGTAGTAGTTTGTTGTGTTGTGATCCCTATTTCTTTGCTTGCACCTTTCTCCTTCTTAGGTTTGTTTGCGTGCTTTTCACTGCTGCCCGAATCTTCATGACTATGTTTGCCTTTTTTCTCTTTCTTATCACCTTGCTTATCATGTTTATTATTGTTCTCTTTACTGTTGGATTGATTTCCAGGAGGAATCTTAGGAATAGTAAATTCATTGCTCTGATCATTCTCTTTGCTTCCTGAATATTCTTCTGGCGAGACGAGTTCTGAAGTGGTTCGTTGTGTTGTGATTCCTATTTCTTTGCTTGCACCTTTCTCCTTTTTAGGTTTTTTTGCATGTTTTTCACTGCTGCCTGAGTCTTCATGACTATGTTTACCTTTTTTCTCTTTCTTTAAACTTTGCTTGTCATTTTTATTATTGTCCTCTTTACTATTGGATTGATTTTTAGGAGGAATCTTAGGAATAGTAAATTCATTGCTCTGATCATCCTCTTTGCTTCCGGAGTATTCTTCTGGCGAAACGCGTTCTGAAGTGCTTCGTTGTGTTGTGACTCCTATTTCTTTGCTTGCACCTTTCTCCTTTTTAGGTTTTTTCGTGTGCTTTTCACCGCTGCTCGAGTCTTCATGACTATGTTTACCTTTTTTCTCTTTTTTATCACCTTGCTTATCATTTATATTATTGTTCTCTTTACTGTTGGATTGATTTCCAAGAGGAATCTTAGGAATAGTAAATTCATTGCTCTGATCATCCTCGTTGCTTCCGGAATATTCTTCTGACGATATGCGTTGTGTAATGGTTTGTTGCGTTTGGACTTCTATTTCTTTGCTTGTTCCTTTTTTCTTTTTAGGTTTTTTTGGATGCTTTTCACTACTGTTCGAATCTTCACTACTATGTTTCGTTTTTTTTTTCTTTTTGTCATCTTTCTTATCATTTTTATTATTGTTCTTGTTTTTGGATTGATTCTCAGTAAGAATCTCAGAGATAGTAAATTCATCGCTCTGATCATCCTCCTTGCTTCCGGAGTATTCTTCTACCGAGCTATGTTGTGTAATGATTTGTTGCGTTGGGATTTCTTTGCTTGTACCTTTTTTCTTTTTAGGTTTTTTTGGATGCTTTTCACTGCTATTCGAATCTTCACTGCTCTGTTTCGCTTTTTTTTTTTTTTTATCATCTTTCTTATTTTTATTTTTTTTCTCTTTATTTTTGGATTGATTCTCAGGAAGAATCTCAGGGATAGCAATTGTAATTTCATTGCTCTGATCATCCTCCTTGCTTACGGGATATTCTTCTTGCAAAACATGTTGCATTGTAATTTCTATTTCTTTGTTTGCCCCTTTTTTCTTTTTCGATTTTTTTATACGTTCTTCGCTGCTATTGCTACTGCTATTACTTCTGCTTGAGTCATCACTATCTTTTTCTTTTTTTTTCTTCTTTTTTTTGTTCTCATTTTGCTTATTATTTGTATCATGTTGTGATGTTTTCTGCACTTTATGTTCTTCGCTATTTTCCTTTTTGTTTATTTTATTTGAGTTATTGTTTTTTGTTATACTAAACGATATATTTGAAGAAGTTCCTGAAACTTTAAAATCTGTATTTATTATTTAAATTTTTATCTGTTTTATTGGCTATTATATCTTAACTTTTTATTTTAATGTAACTTTGCTTATAATTATATGGATTTTCTATTTAATATAACCTTTTCTACTTAAATAACCATTTAATACATAGCATTTTTTTTATATATTTACTTTTATACATTTTTCCAGCAAACAAAAATTTTTAATTTTTTAATTTTATTATTATAATAAGAACTCGTATAGTACAAATTCGCTGAACAGAGGCTGCTATTTATATTATTCCTCTTTGTTTCTAGAATGCGATGCAAATTATCCTTGTGTGTTAATACATCCTTTTAATTTTAGATTTCAAAATAATATTGGTAAATGTTTACTTTACGTCACAAAGCTCGAAAAATTTTTATTTTCACATATGTTGTAGAGGATACATTTCTAAGTAATATACCGTTTGAATTTTGTGGCGCTCTCTCTTCGTTCCTGAAATATGCAGTTTTGAAATTTCATACTTTAATGTCATTTTTTCGTTATATCCTATTTATGTGTTCACATTTTTTGTTTACATTTGCTCAACACGATTTGATATTATATTTTCGTTGTGTGTTTATATTTTTTGTTTACGTTTGCTACTTATGACTTCCATGTCGCTAAAAATTTAATACAATTTCATACAATTAAAAAATATCACAAATGTATGTGTACACACACACACACACACACACATGCGAAGGGCGCAAAGGGGAGCCTTCGGCCCTCCTCCCGCAACCACCCTGCCGGTAGTCAAGGTGGACCTCGCTTTACAACTTACAGCATATATCCATTGTGATTGAACTCTTCGCAATGCGTCCCTTACCGGCGGGGTGGTTGCAGGAGGGGAGGCCGAAGGCCTCTCTTGCACTCCCTGCGCGCGCGCGTGTGTATGTGTATGTGTGTGCCTATATTTCTTCTTAAACATACATGATGTCATAAAATTATATTCTATTCTTGAAACTTTTTTTGTTAATAACTATTTAATAAATAACAATAAGCGGCTAAAACCTTCTGAAAGTTATTCAGAAAGATAACCTCGGGAAATGTAAACACAAAAATATAAACATATTTAGAAAGTAACGAAAAGATAATACAAGTAAGTATGAAACTTCAAAATTGCATATCTCAGGAAGAGAGAGCGCCACAAAATTCAAACGGTGTATTACTTAGGAACGTGTCCTCTACAACATATCTGAAAATAAACATTTTTCGAGCTGTGTGACGTAAAGTAAACCATTTACCATAATATTTAACGGTACATTATCATATGTGTCTTTTTTATTTTTTTTTCTTGTTTTTTTATTTTGGTATTACATGTAGAAAACCTTTCCGATTTATTAGGTTCTATTTTGAGATTGGTGTTTTTCCTCATTTTTTCGAGTATTTATATTTTGATACTTCTAATATTTTTTTCTGTCTTTGTGTGTATATATATATATATATTTTTTTTTTTTCATGTTATGTTTACAATTGCATTTACTAAATTGTTAATGAATCTTTTACCTGTATTATGTTCTTTATCTGTATTCAGCACTTCTGCTGCTCTTTTGAACCGCGAATAACCACTGCATTTCACTCTTTTACTTTCATGAGGTTGTATACAAGTACCACCATATGCATACGAAAAAACTTTGTTAGAATTGCATTTGTGAACTATTTGACGAAATTCAAGGTGATGTTTGTTCTCAGTTTTCGTACATTCATAATATGTTTGGCAATCATTTTCATCGGCATAGAGACCTGATTCTGTGCATTTGAAACGATGAAATTGAGAATACTGTGGTCGTTCAAAACTCGCATGTCTTTCTAAGTTATTGTAATTATGTGTCTCTGTAAAAAATCAAATTAAAATTTTTAATAAAGTAGAAAGGAGATTTTATCCATTTTCATTGCATTTACTATACTATATCAATTTCAAAATGTTATGACAGTCATTTAAGTTGATCAATTAAATCAATCAATTACGCTAATTTGTCTTATCCTGATATATATATGTATAATATTTTTGTAATTACAATAATTTAATTGTCCAGAGCAAAGTATAAAAATAAATTCACATAAAATTAATAATTTAGGCTAATTTCTAACTAATTTTTTTGTCTCTTTTATTAAATTATCAGAAGAAAAAGATTCAAATTCTTACCATTTTCAATATTGTAAAGTCTTCGTTGATAACTCAGATCATTTTCCAAGTTAAATTCACCATGCGAAAGTGTTAAAAATGCGACTAAAAGACAGATTATCTCTTGCATTGTGAAATTAATTCATCTATAAGTGAAAAGATTTATAAAATAATGTTTTATATTGCTCTCTATATCGTGAGAATAGAATATTAATTTACGATGAATAGTATTTTTTTATAAAGTATTAATCTAATTAACAGTATTTTTCCAAAATTGTATATTAATTCTTCATTTTGAAAAAATGTTTACCTTGCAATCATTAGAACATAATTTATATTAAACTACTACCACAACATTTTTTAATGATTACAGTCAAGAAATTTTGATAAAAAATGAATTTGTCAAAGACATAGAGATTCTGCTCACCTCGTTGTCAAATTTTAACGATCGTATAACAATCAGATGATCCACACTCTTTGAAATTTCATAAAATTGTAATTCTTAAATTACGATACGCGCGTATATACTGAGTTTTAATATATATATATATATATATATGATTGTTTTGATGTGTATATATATATATATATATATATGTGCAACATGTGAATGATGTTCGTAAATCAATAACAAAAGTCAACCGGTTTCTAATTGAATACATTTGAAAGCAAAATCTGTATGTATTCAGGCAGAAAACTTATATAATGTATAATTAAAATTTGCGATTGCGAATATTTGTGACGTTAAGCATATCTTAACAGATAATTTTGATATTATAAAACGATATTCGAGATATTTTATAATTGAGATATTTTAAAATGGAAAATAATATTAATGATGTACATATATTGTTTTTTTAGAAGGTGTACATATATCGTTTATTTTTAAGGTATACACATATCGTTTATTTTTAAAGGAATAGACAAAAGCTATAGAAAAAAATAATAGAGGATGAGAGCATTGCAGACTATTTTTTAAATATATTTATTTCCGCTGTATATACTTTCAGACTACAATTAACAATACCTGTTAATTTGTTAAAATTACATTATATTGGTAAAATGCAAAATTTATAAATAATTGTAATATAGTAAATGTTTGATTGCAGAAAAATTAACTTCAGTGTCATTCATCACTTGCCTCAATATTAGCTCTTGCTATAATAAATATGTACAAAGCATACATTAAGTAAATTTAAATATTCGATATCAGATGCTCGTGTCTTTTAACAAAAAAAGAAACTTGTTGATGATATAAGGAATAAATAGAATATCCGCTATACAAAATTAGAAAATGTGACATTTTAATTATATTGTATCCATTCAAAAACATTTTAGATATTTTATTCAATTATATCTTCGGGCAATAATTTAGGACGAGTCCGTTTGATAAGACGCTCGGTTCATTTATTCAAATTTTGACAATCCAAGATCCTCTGCGCTTCAATCTGTAAATAACGCAATCATAAATATATATCATTATAATAATTCACAATCATAAGCGTTCCAATAAATATTTGCTGTGATATTTATAAAATAAAAGAAGTATAAGTAAATAAAAGAAATATATTTTCAATATGTATGTTGATTTATAATCTATTGAGCACATATAAACAGACATTATAAGAACTATAAATCTGTTAGAATTAAAATGTGTATAATTAAAAAATATATACTCGAAAAAATTAATCGTTTATAGTCTTTTTAGGGCATTCATTAAATTTTCAAATCAATCTTGCATCTTCGTGTACCTGAATGAATGTATATAATTTTAACAATTGTTCCAATAATGCGCTTTGCGACGAACAATCCGTATTACTCGGTCTAATCCGCATATCTTGACTCCTTTTACCTTGGCCCCATCCGGGAGAAAAATTTAACTGAGCTTCACCATCCGAAACAAGGATTAAGAAAAGAAACGCTAAAGCGAACAAACTCATTGGCATCTTACAGAACCTTGAAAAAAAATCGTAGAGCTTAATCAATTCACAAAATTTTACACACAGCGATATGTAATCTTCGATTAAATTAAAAAAAATGAATGAATCAACAATTGCGTTTGTTTCAAACACCTCAAGCAAAATGTGCATAGTATCATTGTGAATGAGTTTATAATGACTATAATGAAATGAAGAATAAATAATTACACTGTATATGCACAAAAAAATAAAAAAGGGACTCACATGATAACACTTTCGTACAAATGTATAGAATGTATTTTTCGTGAGACGATGTGCCGATGTGCAAAAGATTTCGATTACAAGAGATCTAAGATGCGGTTGCTGTTTTTATACATTGCTGACCCCTTACTTTAACGCGCGCGCATTACAACATCTTGATTTAATCACTATCTCAGGGGGAAATAATAGGACCTCTGCGTCGGCGTTGAATCTTTCACTTTGCAACAGTTTCATTCAAAGTTTTTTCTTTTACATAAATTTAATATGAAAATTGAGAACAATTGAAAAATCTATGAACCATACATGTATAAAACTATACATGTATGTATAAAAATACATTTAGAGATATAATTATCAGATATAATTATACAAAATACAATTATTATACAAATCGTTATAACTTTTAATGCGACCTTGCAAAACCATCAGCTGTTTTTGCATATATACATCGTAATTAATATATTTGACACACACACAAACTGTGTCAAAATAAAATTGCAAATTATCATGCATCAAACTATCATCGCATATATCATACATTCAAAAAAGATAAATGTTGGATATTTTCATCTATTATGTGATATTAAAATATGAAATTATATAATCATTATACATCAATTTCCAGATTTTTTCATATATATAATGTTTTGTAACTGATATAATAATTAATATAAGTACACAAAGTACTGATCTTCTATATATAAAAAAAAGAGAATCGAAGAATACAATTTTTATATATGTTGAATTGTATATGTTTTCAGGAAAAGAAAATCGATTTTGGAAAATTAATAACACATCTTTTATAGATATATCTTACTTAATAATCTTAATAATTTTATAAATCTCACATTTGTATACATATATTTATATAACATAATGTAAAAAATAAAGAAGATTTTGTTTCAAATAAGAAATCATACATATATATTTCTAATATCAAATAGAAATTTTTATATAACTTTCTATTTTATATCTATTTTATATATATTTATTTTATATTTATTTTATTCTATTTTATATTTATATGCAATATTTTTGTTCTCTTTTTGCCAATAGATCAATATTATGAATATATATTAAATTATTCAATATATATAAATATTTTTAACAAGATTTTTCTTCAAATAAAAGTAATATCAAATATTTTCTAAAATATATAAAAATAGATATAACCAAAGTATATGTAAAGATATATATATATATAAAAGTATATGTAAATGTATAAATATATTTAGTACTATAAATATATTTAGAAAACAAGAAATCGTCAAATTTAATTTGCATGCATTTGCAATATATAATCCATTAACTTATTAGCCTGATCATTAAAGAATTTAATATTTGTTTGAAAATTATTTTAGTATGACCATATTTTTTCCTACTGTAATCAAAACATATTTTAATGAAATAAGCTAATAACATTATAGCACATTTATAGTTTTTCTTACATAATTGAAAGTACGTAAACGACAAAATTAAATGATATAATTCTGTCTAAGTAAAACCCATCATAGTCGAGAATTCATGTCGTTGATTTCTCATTTTTCACGAGACAAATCATCACGGCAACAGTTATTAAGATACAACTTGTTTGCATCTGTACAAATAAAGAAAAAAATCAAATTGAACATGTAACATTTTATAAATTTTTATATTTAAGCTTTACAATAAAGAAGAAAAAAAGACATTGATAAAAAAAAACTGATTTTTTGATACAATAACTTATGAAGACAATCATTTTTCTTTTAATACTTATTATGCAGTATCATTAATGAAATTAATTATGTCCGAAAAAGTAAACTTTATATTACTTGCATCATCCGTGACATGTATATTGCCAAATGAAATTGATGCGTGCGACCGTGACACTTAAAGGCTTCTAGACTAATTTACTAACAAGAGCGTCATAGCAGGATGTGAAGCCTCATAGATTACTTCATCAATCAGTTATATATATATATATATATATATATATATATATATATATATAATCTTACATAATATATATATTTAATTTTTGGGTTATCACACAATAAAATATCGTAATTAAAGAAATATTTCTCTAAAAAATTTTTTTTTATAACTGTGACAATTAAGATCACTTTAAATGAGTTATAATTTATGATTCCTAACAGAATTTTATTTCTTGATATATAATATAGAAAATATTTTTAAAAAAAGATTAAAAAGAACATATCACATATGCGTTTTATGAAATATATATCAAGATATGCAGGACATAATATAATATTTGAATTTTATGGATGATAAATCGTCTAAGGTGGATTTTGAAATAGAAAGCAAAACATATTCGAATCTCATTTTATTACTACAAAAAAAGAAATTACACATAATTTCTCGGGCTAAAAGTGGTTCAAAGAGAAAGGATAATGGTGCGCTCATATGCGTTGCTGTCAATTATCACATAATAAATTCTTCGTAATATTTCTTATTTTTCTAGGTAATGTACAAGCCTGTGTATACACGCGCGCATTATATTTATACGTGTGTACATATATATTTTTGTATCTCTATATTTACGTCTTTTTACAATAAGGTTTTATTAAAGTGTAGAATAGTACCCCTGATTAAGATTTAATTATTAAAACCGCACGTCAAAGAATTTATGATTTTCTTCTATCACTTAAAGGCAGTGTTAAGTAAATTTTTATCAATAGCAATTACTCTTGATATTTTATCTATTTAGATTATCTATTGTTTGTCTGTACAAATAATAGAAATGACAATATATAGGCATATAAAATTGCTGAAGAGTAACAATTATTTAACATTTTTTACAAAGTTATTTGTTACGAAATGACAATTATTATAATAAATTTGGTTAATACATAGGCAAGTTTTTTGAGAGGATTTTCCATTAGATAAATAAATAAAAAATGTTTTGCAAAAAGAAGTTATAAAATGTTTATGCTTCCTGTTTATGTGTAATTTGTTAATCTTTTATCATTATTGAAATAATAGAGGAAATATTTATCGAGTAATATTTATCATAAGTTGTTGTATGACGAATTAGCCTATTACATTATACACATTAATCTTTATATTTACTTTATCATACAAACTTTTTATATTTAATTAACATCTTATCTTAATGCTTGCCTTCAAATATTGCCTTAATTAAAAAAAGTGAATTTTTGTAAAACCTTGCACAAAAAAAAATTTTAATACAGATAATCTTATATCTTTCTCTACAAATGACTAAATTACAAGTTGATATATTCTAATCATTTTTCTTTTAATCGTTGTTCAATGGCAAGCGCCTAAGTAGCTCTTCATAAATATTTATGAAAGAAGAGCATTTAAAATGTGCAGCTCTTGAGATCACATGCATCCGCCTAAGTTGTGTTCCTTATCATATACATGCACGTGCATATGCACGTCATACGCGTTAAATTTCACGATATGTATTAAAAAAGCGCAGTACGTTGAGATTGTTTTTCAAGCAATTAACAAAAGGCAAATGTTATTAATGCTATTTTTGTTATTTTTTTGAACATAGTTATGAAAAAATTATGGTATTTTATAATTTCTATTTGTAAAATATGTAAGAATATTATACTTTAAATATAAAAACATATTATTGAGCATTTTTTTGGTTGTACGCAGTTTTGCACGGAATGAGCAAACTATTGAAAATTTGTCGAATATATAATTATACAGATTTTATTGACATTATCTTGAATTTTTTTAAAGTGAATTGAAGACTTCAAAATATTCTCGTTTTCTATTATTATGATAAGTATCGAAATATAAAAATTTTCGTTTGCATTTATTTCTTCGTTAATAAGATATAAAATCTTATAAAGCACTAAATAATTGAAAAACATTTGTTTTCAGAATGTCTCAACATAACCACGCGCAGACAATATATATGTTATCGTAACTTTATCGTGAAGTTTAAAAAAGCTTAAGAAGCTTAAAAATAAGAGCTTTATGTCAAGTGATATATATAAATGCTTATCAATCGCATAAAGATATATTAGCAAAAATGATGATTAGGGTTAGTAATACGAAACAGTGATTAATGAATGAAAGACACAAACAATTATTTCTGTGATGAGACTATTATCATCTCGAAATTATTTGCACATCGTAATACGAAGTGATCTTATTGATAGAGATTGATAGAGATGATATTTTGCAAAATTAAGAGAAAGATCAGTATTCAAAGCGCACTATGGCACTATGGATCTTGATGCGTCGATTCTTCATTGCTTTCAGTCATTACGACTTAACGTAATGTGTGTGTGTGTGTTGTGTGGAATACTTAAATATCTGCTTGCTTATAATCCTACTAGTAGAACGGACAAATTTGCGACGAGAATAATTTTTCGCGAGAAATATACGTATATAAAAGGTATGTTTTGTAACATATATCGAATGTAACAATTCATACACACATAATGTTGTATGTACGCATGTTCATCTGATATAATCGAGACGCATACACTCATGGCATTTCATACCATACACACTTTTTCTTTTTTTTCTCTCACTTTCACGTACATATAATTATTAAAATACTATATCAATTAACTATAGAAGAGTAACGTTTTATTTCTTTCATTCTTTTATTTGCACGCTGCTCTTTTTTTATTCTCATAAGAATGTCCTCGGCTTTTCTTAAAATTATTTCATTGATCTCACTTATCTGAGTGACATTATGTATGTGTATAAGTATACATATATACACATACACCATACACACACACACACGCGCACACACGCACACACAGGGTGTCCCAGACCACCCGTACACATCCCTTTTAAAATGAAAATAAATTTTTATCAAAAATCGCGAACAATTTTTAAGTAAATCGGATACTCAAATGGTGATATTTTCAATTTTTGATTCCGACTGGAAATGCGCCATTCGAATTGGAAGTTGAATTTTTTTAGGAGAACATGATACTTTTTATTACAGATTTGAATTGTACGTGAAAAAATAAGAAACTTTTGTATCAAACGTTTTTTTCTAAAAGTGCCTCTGTCAGTCAATCTTAAAATTGATCATTATTTCATCACAGTTACTTTCAAGGTCAGAAAAAACATTTGATACAAAAGTTACTTATTTTTTCATGTACAATTCGAATCTGTAATAAGAAGTACCATGTTCCCCTTAAAAAAATTCAACTTCCGATCCGGAGTGTATTTTCAGTCAGAATCAAAAGTTGAAAATATCACCATTTGATAGAGCGTACCCGATTTACTTAAAAATTGTTCGCGATTTTTAATGAAAGCCATTTATTTTTATTTTAAAAGGGTTGTACAGGTGATCGGGGACACCCTGTATATATCTTTATATATTTACTTATTTATTTATATAAAGTATGTATAAAAAATAGTCTGGAAACTCCTCTCGTAACTTGAAGATTGCCAAACTCAAGATTACAAATCAATAATCGATAAAACTTACTATCTTGTTATAGATTGTTAATTACAAAACTACAGTGTATGTTATTGACATTTTATAAACTGATATTATACTCTCAATTATTCTGTTCGTTGCTGGAATGCATATAACGTTAAAAGCTAATGATGCGCATAAAAAGGCGAATGGTTTTCTCTTGAATCTGGCAGTCAATTTTGTATTTTTATAAAGTTACTTAGGTTTTCCTAGACGGCGAGTTATAAAGTCAGTCATTTCATCGCTATTATAAAATACGTAATATTAAAAAAATATTAACAAAATAGAAAATAGCTCTCTTTCTCTTATCCAAATTTGACGAATGAACAATTAAAAAATATGCTTAATACTTCGCTAATTTTATATATATTGAAAAAAAAGAAGTTATATATGTTATAAATATCAATCAATTATGGAATATATGTTATAATTATCAATCAACTATGGAAAAGCACATAGAAAAAAGCTTTTCGATAATTTTGGCGAAATTAGAGTAAAATAAAAACATAAAAAAAGGAAATAAACTCATGTATAATTATTGATTTATGCAAATTCTTTTTAATTTTTATTTTAAAAGCATAAACAAAATTTTTATAAGTTTTCCTATATATCATTTTCTATACAATATTTAGTAATTATCAGTAAGAAATGATTTCTAATTATTGATAAAGTATTAAGCCGTCTATATAATGCAAAAATTATGCAGATTATCTCTTTTACATATTTTTAACCCATGTATAGAGCATAGCTTATTATAATTTTTCAAAATACAATATATCATAATTTACACATCATAATTAGTTATAGAAAAAAAAAATTGCCTATGGAAATCCAGATTGTCCAATAACTCGTCGAAATACATACGACGAGAATACGATAATCTAGAACTTGTAATGTTTATATTCGCGCAACGTAGTGAACGCACTATTTTCTCTCTTGTTCCACTTATTATACATATATCATCTCTAGTGTAAAATTATAACATAAACGTGAATCTTTTTTCGATAATATAAAAATTCATAATGATCAGTATGAGATACGCAACACTCTTTCCTGTATAAACGGAATTCGTATTATAGCGTCCATATAATCACTCGCGATAATTGTAAAGTTTATTTCGTTTATTAAATAAATCACGCTCATGTGTAATTACACATCGCGTCAATAGGATTGCATATTTTAATGCTCTCCGTTTATTTGCTGTCTTTAAATTATAGTAATCGGTGAATGAAACCACGCGTAATTTTAAGTACAGTTTTAGCCCTGGTGTTCTTTGCTTGTTGTTAAAAGCTTGAGGCTGTAGATCTCTATAATACAAATCCTGTGACATGTATACTCATATTTGTGGTTACATAAACCATATATGCTGGAGCGAATCTGTAAAATGCATACTATATATATATATTTTTTAACAATATAATAATAATCATATTTATGTTAATATTGTACATGTTACAAAATAATATATAACACTATTTAAAGATTATGTAACTAATTATATTACCTGTGTTAAAAATTTTACAGCTATGAAATTTTCGGTTAAGAAAACTCAACACCAGCTTTCGCTCTCTCGTTCACCGACTCCGTCACTTTCCTCATCACTTGGATCTTCTCCATACATGTCCGCTAACTTTCTGAATCTTGGTCCAAAATTAGATAGATAATTGAATTTGAGATCTCCATCATCGGTACCTATAAATGAGATGTAAAAAATAATTTAAAAAATATTAATATAAACAAAAAATTGAAGCAATAGAAATATGTTCTGTCTAAATAGCTTGTATTTGTATTTGAAAATACTAACAGGAAGCTAGCGATGATAGATCGCCTTCCGAGTTACCCTCTCCCTCGTAAGCATAATGTCTTACGTCGTCAAATGGATTTGTATCGGGATCTTTATCACAGCTTTCCTTTTTTCCATCTAGGAAACCGCAAATGTCTGGAACTTCGTCGTTTCCTTTAAACGAACAGACTTCTTTTAATTTACAACAATTTATGTATAAGTAATATATTAGTAATGTTGCTCGTTTTTTTACCTCTACCCTGTAGGCTAATTGGAGCTATTTTGGAATCAATAGGCGGTGCATCGTAAATAGCTCTTAATACATTCAAATCAAATGCCGTATCAACCTCACCGCCTCCTTCGTCTTCGTAATTTATAATGTTTTCCCTAATATCATCCATATCCTTATACAAATCATCCGTCTTTCTTCTATGCACTACTACCGCGACGAGTAATATTAACAATATTAATACGCAAACTACTATGGCTACTATAAAATTCGTGTCGATCCCGAATGAGATGGCCTTTGCCATACCGTGATTGCAACCGGGATCTGCATTTCTAGACAGCGATGGCATGCCTAAGTTGTATGTCTGAAACGAACGAATAAAGGGAAATAGAATTTAATTAACTATACTTTTTATCTCTTTTTCTTTGTCACTTACATTTCCATTGAATGTCATGTTACGTATACAACCAATAAATCCTTTATTAGTTGGTTGATGATCCCATCCTAAATTTGATGCCAAGTATGCTAAATTACTTAATGTACCACCTACTTGCATAGGACTATTAACATTTAAAAATTCATTAGTTCCTTGCGGTGCAGTGAGACTCATGCAAGCAGATATGCCGCAATTATCAACCCTCATCTCCATTGACTAAAAAAAAAATCAAATACAATGAGATAATGACTTATTCAATTTCAAATAAAATAATATATAGCGAGAATTCTTACAGTTTTCGTATAATAAATATCTATTCTGTGATTCTTGCCATCCGTCAATTTAATTTGTTTGTGATCTAGTCTCACAGTTCCCGTTCCATAGTCGATATACAATACGGCGAACCCATGTTGAAGTTCTAATGCCATGAAATCTCGAAGTCCAAGTTTAGGACTATAAGTCATAGGACCAAAGTAAAAAACAAGGCCATTATCCATGTGTGGTCTTATTTCCAATCCTGTGATAATTTGTTTATATAGATAGAAGCATAATGAAAATTATGTATTAATAAACATAAGGCATTAGAAAACAGTACCTATATGCGATTCATCGCAAGCTTGATTAGGTGGTGGCATAATGGCCCAGCCGTCTCCCTGAAAACCGATACCTAATAGTTCGCATCTCGGTCCTTCAAGACCAGGTGGGCATTCGCATCGTTGTGCCAGAGGAGTACCGCCATTTAAGCAAACGATAGGTTCCGCTACGGTGCAAGTGCACAACGGATCAACAATTGCTCTAACACCGACGAACGAACTAGTATTAGTATATACGGAATATGGAATAGTGCTGGCATTTAAGAAACTGCGGCATGAACTGTTGCAATGAACCTTCTCGAACAAGCACTCGTCGATGTTTACCAATAAGATGTCCGCTTTCATTTCTCGTTCAATCTGCTTGGAATGTTGCGCTATAATCGTGTTTAGCTTTTCGGAAGCGTAATACGGACTGCCATGTGCCGAAAATCGGACGTCTAACAAACTTCTATTGTTGTGATGAGGCGAATGAAGCACCGTAAATACATCGACATTCTCGAGGGATGTGTTTAGCATAGAGGCTAACTTCTCTTGAAATATTTCCTTTTTACTGACGCCGGATTCGTCAGGCTCTACAAATTGCTCCGCGGTTATCCCATAAAATCGCACGGAACCGGATCTATCCACGGCTTCTTCCGGAAGTTCTTTAACGGTGACATTCACATACGCATATACTTGGTGCGATTTAATAAGATGGCCTCTCTCAGTGACGATAAATTTCAATACAAAGGTATCATTTGACGTACCCGACAGCAAAGTGATCATGCCGGTATTGGGATCTAGATGGAATCCATCGTGAGGAGAGGCCCAATCGAAAGATTTATCAGGCAAATCCCAATCGTCCAGATCGTTAACGTAAACGCGTCCAATTTCCGTATCGGGAGCTTCTCCCTTGTAATTGTAAACGAATATAGAACTCGAACCTTCCTGCATGGGATTGTCATTTTCATCGCCTATAATGACAGTGAGCGTCGAGGTACCTGTCATGGGTGGCATACCGCTGTCCGTGATCGCGATCGGTATATCATAACTTTTCCGTTCTTCACGATCGAACTCAACTCGCGCGTATAGATTAACGTCACGAATGTCGAACTTGGATCTAATTTCATCGTCCGCACTATCATCGATTCGGAATTCAAATGGCGGACCATTCTCTTCAGAGTCGTAATCTCGCGCTTTGAGTTCAGTTATCTTGCCTGGCGGCCTGTTTTCATCCCAAATGACGGGAGGCATTTCGAGAAACGGTGCATTGTCATTTATGTCTATGAGAGTGATATTAACCATAACCAATTCGCGTAGAGCCGTAGGCGATCCGTCTTCGTCTCTTGCCATTACAATCACCTGCAAATGTAAAAATAAAATCAGAAGTCAAAATTAAGTTTATAAGATATTTTAAGCCGATAAAAACATCATTTAATCTGACTCACAGTCCACATTGAATAACCATTCGGCGGATCATGATCCAGTGGCTTTTTCAACTTCAGACAGCCAGATTTGTCGATTCCTATCAAAGGTTGTTGATCTTCTTTGACGATGAAATATGCGATATGCTGATCGGCATTTCTATCTTCGATATCGGGGTCGTAAGCCACCACAGTAGTAATACATCCTAATTAAAGCATATAGGTTTGTATTAAAAATTAATATTAATTTCTTTTTAATTATTGAAAATTATTGCGTATTGACATCCTACCATCTATCAATTTTTCTTCTTCTATCGTTGGATTTTTGTTAAAATCTTCAAAGACTGGTGGATTATCATTGATGTTTTCAATAAAAATTTCAACTTGAGCAGTATCGTTAAATACACCATCGAACGCCCTCACAGTCAAATTGTATTTGGTGATCTTTTCATAATCAAGCGCCTTATTCACGCGAATTTTTCCCGTTGTAGCTTCGATATAGAAGCTATTGTCAGTATTTCCCTGTATAATGCTGTATGTGACAGGGCTCGCTGTATCAGAATCGACAGCCTTGACTTCAGTCACGGGCGCATTGATGTTTGCATTTTCGTAAATTGAATTATGGGTATAGACTTTTTCAGTGAAACGAGGCGGATTGTCATTCTTATCGGCGATTTCGATTCGAAACACCTGTTGCCCTTTATTGTGCTCGCCGGTTTTAAACAGAGCGCTTGGAGAATTATCCGTTGCTATTACTTTGACATTGTACGTATCTTCGACCTCTCTATCAAACGTCACCAATGTCGTGATATTGCCAGTTTGCGGATCGATTGTGAAGAGATCTTTGAAGTTGTCCAATTCGTAACTGACCTTTTGAGAGAAAATGAAATCAAGATATCGTATTAATAACTAGATATAATCCTTTTACCTGGGATACTCGTTAACAAAAAAAAAATATTTTTAAAGCATGAAATATTTAGATAACTCCAATACCTGATTATTAGCGGAAGTGCCATCAGCATCGATGGCTCGTACTTGCATTACAGGAACTCCTCGAGGTTCGTTCTCCAACACGCTTCCTTTTTTGATATCACGGAAAACTGGAATATTGTCATTTACATCGAGAACTTCGATGTCGATCACTGTTTCGGCGGCTAGTTGATATTTATTTTGTACTCGTACTATTAACGAATACTGCGTGTTACTTTCATAATCAAGATGTTGAGCGAGCTTGATATCCGCTACGTCCTTAGTAGATTCTAATCTATTTATATTTATATACATATATGTCATAAGTATGAGATAAAATTACATAAATGCAAAAAGACATGTTATTATATAAATGTGCAAGGAGAATGAGATAAACATAATTTACCTAAAAGTGTTCCCTTTGTTAGTTTGCTCCGTTCTACCAGGCACAAGCTCGAAGAGCAGAGTCGAACTGTCCGAATTGCTGGAATTATCAATATTGGAGACTGCTTTTAAACGGACAATGTTCGCATCGAAATCGCTAAAATTCTCCTTAAGTTTAATTGCCTCCAAAGGCCTTGGCAAAAAAGCTGGCGCCTTCTTATGCGATTCCACAACCCGTATGTCAAGATCAATGGAATTCCTGAGTGAGATTTTGCCAATATCCTTGGCGGTGGCTGTCATACTGAATTTATAATTTGGACTCCGCTGTACAAATTCAAAATGAACATAATATATAAGAAATTTATGTATAAACTGTTAAGTAAGAGTTTCGAAAAACTCAAGCTTTCTTTTCTTTTTGTTTAAAATTAAATTAACGGATCAATGTATTGCATTATTTAACGTAGCTTTTAATTGGAATAAAATTTTTAGTAAACATGAAAAATAGAGTAACAAATTGTTTTTCCGATAATTCCGATAAATTACTTTGTTTAATCACATACAAAATGTTGAAGTAATATTTTCAACGCACATAGTTTACGTAATAGAGCTTGCTAATGATATGGAAATTCAGAAACAATCATGAAAGGAATTATTTATTATTATCGCCATTTAAACTATCGAGTGTAAGATAATAGTTTGCGTGGAGTTCCACTGACGGATCCGCCGTTTGAGATTCACGGAAAAGGTACTCCGAAATCGTCTCGGAATGACGTATTAGTATCGAGCCTGTGCAAATTGATAGCCAATCGATCGCCAATTGATCGGCGTGTATCGGTAAGGGCAATAAAAGCCCAGGCACTCGAAGAAAGGGAAAGTCTCTCAGCGCTGAAGAAGAGTAATGAATGGACATCGCGTATTTTTCTGTACCAACAAGACTCTAATAAAATATCTTACACGAGAAAATATTACAAGTTCTTTCGAGAGGACTTTATGAAACAAAGTAGCGTTTTACCCTCTTATAACCATGTCTTTCTCTCTCATATTACTTACATCTATAGCTTTGTTGAGGAATATGATACCGCTTTCTGAGTCGATTCGAAAGTAGGCGGCATCCTCCGTTTTCTTAGCCGCTAGACTATATCGTACGACAGAATTATTACCGTCATCGATATCGCTAGCGGAGACTCTCATGACTTCGCGACCAACAGGTAAATCTTGCGGCACGGATTCCGTGTATGCCTGTGTAACAAATCGAAATTTAGCATCAAACGAGAAACGATTATTACACGCAAAGTGCACGTAGTTTTTAAAATTAATATATTACGCATTTCGCGTAATATATTACATGCAGTTTTTATGCAAATCATGCTTACGGTGCATTATCATTTCTAAAACATTTCATACGTGCATGATAACTTCTTTAACACAGAAGGACAACGGAAAAGGTAGTTCGTTGACTAAATATAGAGAGAGAGATCGTATAAAAATATCGTTTGAAACTCGTACAGATAAAATTTCACATTCAATATATAAAAATTAAATAAAATTTGTTCCGTGAAAAAAAAAAAATGTAAACTGTATGTAAAACAAGACGACATTTGAGAGACATTTTAATTTTTTTCATTCATCTCGCATATCGAACAACATTTTATACCGCAAATTCGAAACCAACCTTCCATACGTATCCACGGAAGACCTGGGATTGAAATAAAGCAAAAAAAAATTCAAGCAGAAATCGTTAATAGTGATAATATGTTAGTCTATGAAAAAAGGAAACTTGTAAGTACACGAATACCTTTACCATAATTTGCGATATAGTTTATTCACGATATAGTTTATTCATTATTTCATCAAATTAATTCTATTCATTTCTAGAAATGTGCGTTTGCCAGAATGTTTTATTTTTCAAAAATCTTATAGAATGTACGAAAAAGATATTTTTTCAAGTGTATAATATATGGAATATTTTATATACTTAAAAATCCATCTCTTTTCTTTCTATCGATAAAGATAGTATCTACGATAAATGTTTTGGTGAAAAAAAATGTTAAAAATATTGAAAAAATCAAATTCTTCATATGCTGGTAAAATGAACTTTATAAACTGAAAAAAACATGTTGCTGTTAAACCGTAATAAATTTTTCCAATATTTTTCCGATACGAATCATAATTATTATACCTGTAAGCGGCGTACGCGCGTATTATATATTATTCGTCCTACATGCACTCGGATTCTTTTGTAAATACGAATCGTAAAGGAATTACGAGTTGGTAACTGGATAGTTGATCACGTACCACTTTGTCAAAGACGGGTGCATTATCATTGACGTCCTCGATGGTGACCTTAAACGTACACACGTCATCCAACTGTGGTTTTCCATTGTCAGTCGCGAGAACTGTGAGATAAGCCTCCTTTTCCCTGGCGGGCTCATCCCTGTCGAGGATCTGGGTCGTCTGGATGAGACCCGTCGTACTGTTGATCTCGAATTTCAACCTCTCGTCGGGAGCGGTCACGAAACTGTACGTAATAGTGCCTGAAAATTTATCAGATAATTATCCATTACGACTCGACGTAGTGTTCTTGTTGGTTCCACTTTGTACAAAATAATGCACGTGTTTTACTCGATTAATTTATAAATGCAAGGCAAAGCAAGGCGAGGCATTTCATCCAGCCGATACGTCTATTCTCGGCCGCGACAGCGACTTTTGACTTCTCGTTTTTAAATCGCGTGCCACGTGTTATTTCGCTCGGCAAATCACCGAAAATAAAACAAAGTTACTGATTCGTGTAATTAAAAAATAAGCTCAAACATGAAGACAGACGTGTCTACGAACTTTTTTTTCCGTTTGTACCGATTCAAAGTAATAAAACTTTGACTAGATTGTAAAAAAAGATTGCTCCATTTAACCAGGCGCATAATTTGCAACATTTATGACGATAGAGTTATACTTGACGACACGCTGTATACGATACCTCCTTCATCCGGCGGATCTTTATCTTCGGCGTACACCTGGATCACCGTCGTGCCGCGCGATTCCTCCTCCTTCACTACGGGCGCATAATTCGAGCAATTGGTGAACACCGGCTTGTGGTTGTGATTCTCATCGAGCTGAAAGCGCAAGAGAAACGGACGGCTATTAGCGCGAGTGTTAGCGAAGGGGAAGATGAGGGAGTCCCCGAAAGATATGTCCGGGGGATTAATCGGTAAACTTGGCGCGCGGAGCAAGACTTTAGAGAACAAGGCTCTCGATAAATCAAAGCGCTCCTCATAAACCAAGCGCCATTAATCACGGCGTGGACTCGAGCGGTCTATTATGTCGTATTGCCTCATAAAAGATCCATAGCCTCTTAGAATAGGATACAAGTATAGGTGGAAAGAGAGAGGGAGTGGAAAAAACGGAGCGCCATATAAGTAGGCGCTTCGTAATAATCATGCACGTTGGTGATCTAGAACATGTGTGCAAGGTTAGACAAGTTCCACGGCTTGGCACAACGGTTACGCGGTCTGTTGCGTCTTGCGATACGAGCTATACTCTCATGAATTATGACTGCTACTGCCCCCGTATAACGTTCCGTGTGTTACCGTTTCATCGCGATTAAGGATCGATCCAACGGCGTTTAACATACGTAATGTACGATTGATCGATGTCGTATTTAACTTGGGACAAGAATAAATAATTCGTCCACATCGAGTAGCAATAAAGCGACTGCGAACTTTACAACGTCGACGTAGGAAATTTTCTTTCAAACACAGTAATAATAATAATATGGTACGTGTATAACTAATATATCGCGCTAGATTCTTCCGACTTGGATAAGCACGTTCCAATTCGTGCTTACCACGCTAAAGTACGTGGGTGACGCACTCCCTAGATAGTTATCGTCGATGTAATTAAATGGTCGCGACATTAATATTCATTACTATTTTCTGTCCCACGAGATAACGATATTCCCAGGTAAACAGCATTTGGTAAGAAATATAATCCGCGTGTGCTCTCCTCTTGCTGGGTTTGCTCGCGCGGCGAGACACGCCTCCAGCATCTGGCAAACCCATCAGACCGCTTAGAATTTCGCGTTTGCACTTTGCCTAGGTCATATGTTACCTCGATATAGCACCGGCACGGCGTGCTCGTTCTCGTACTTTCCAGCCTCATTAACGATAAACAAGTTCGCCGTGTATTTTAGCATATTAACTCCGTTATGTTATTCGCGGCTGATTCACGCCGACTTATTCCAAGAAACGTCTCTCTCCGTCAATTGGAATTCGTAATCGCTTCATCAACGGGACCCGAGGGAAAATAACGAGAAAAAAGAGTCTCGAAGAGCGGATGGAAGAGCGGATTATTGCCGCGAGTACGCACCGCGTCGTCGAAAACTGTTATTTCGAAGAATAGCAAGGAAAGGGAAGGGAGTGAATTGCATTAATTATCGGTATTCCATTTAACGTCGGTGTAAATATCGTACTTGAAACGCCGAGTAATTTCATCATAGTCGGTGTTGTAAAGCGAACTGTACACGTTGTACTCGAATAAATGACCCTCCTCTCTCTCTCTCTCTCTCTCTCTCTCTCTTTCGAGATACTTTGTACCGAGTTTTAAGGGAATGATACACGTGACGTGATCGCGAGATACACTCTCGGCTGTTAATTAATATTAAAGATGAAAAAGCTCCCGTAACTTGTGAATTGCTCACGGCATCTTTCCGCGACGATTAATATGCGCAAAAGACTAACGAGCTTCACCGCGATTACCATCTCTGATTCACGGTAGGAGCTTATACCAAGGGTAAGGAAAATGATGAAATTTGATTCTTTAAAAGGACCGAGAGCGTTGAACGTTATTCCATTAATGTAATATCTATAAGAAAACTGCGTTTTATTAATGATAGCGAAGAAAATGCTACGTCGCAGTAGCAGAATCTTATTATTCTTGCGTTTGACTTTTTTTTTCTTCAAAAAAGGTGTACTAGAACTAAATTGATTGGAAAGATGCCTTGAAAATGATAGATTTCTTATACTGAAAGTGAAAAAAAATTGTCATGATAACGAATTAAATTGTCATAATAAATAAATAATGATGGGAGCTATCGTCTGAAAATGTGTGAAAAAATTTATCTTTATATATCTGTGTACTATTGGATTGTTAATATAAATAGTACGGTCATATTTTTCTCTTGCTGTGCCGCTTTTGGCGTATAAAAATAAATTCTCTTTTATTTAATTTAATTTACGTATATTAAAGTAATATTCAACGACGCTTGCGAAAATGTCAATTAAAAAAAAAAAAACATTTATTATGCTTCATGGCCTCTGCAATTATATACATAGCGAATCTCTAATAAAAATCTAATTATTTAAATATTTATATGTTTATATAGCATTATGCCGTACAGAAATTATATTGAGAAAGAGGATTATATCACGCGTTACAGAAGTATTACAATTATCTGGGGTACATCATGCGAATATGAAGGTCTCAAACAGCTTTAGTGCTGCCAATTATCGGTTCGGCGAAGCGACAATTTTCATTCGATCGCCAAGTTCGACATATTGTAGGAATCGTGCGCACACGAGATGGCCCCTGCAGTTTCTCCGCGATTCTCGCGTTCCTAAATATCCTACGCTCCGCCGAGCAAACTTCGGCGTAATGTCAAGGATTTACGAGCGATTCGTAAGCAAGTCTCAGGGGACGCCGACCAAGCACTTCTCACGGAAGTGTCTCACCGTGAACGTACGAACGCGAGTCGTGGAACGCGCATCTATTCATCGAATTACGAGTGATTTCGTCCGTCTGCGGCAAATTATTTATGCACGACGAACAAACGGAACGTGAGGCACGTCGCCTCGACGTTATCGATAAGGCTTTTTATATTTTAACAGCGTCGAAAAAAATATCCGGGATCACACTTCTTTTAGCGCGCTACCCTTAATCGAATCCATTTGAATCTATCCGATATTAAACGTGATCTAATATTGTTTTATCGGTACTTTTTAGAGTTTCCAGAAATACGTTTTTAAATTTTCTTTTTATTAGAAGAAATGTGGCAAATTTAGAGTACGATCGAAATTACATTATCGTGATAAGATCAAATTCAAATTTGTATCGAAACGATCAATTGCATAATAGAGAAATAAAGTGTCGAAATATTAAATTTATCGCTCGCGATCACGGCTTTTTATAGATTCTACATATATTCAACAGGCAACAATGGACCCGCCGCACGTCGATGTCACGTAAAAACGACTGCTGACGCGCGCGCGGTAAATATTTAATCGCCGAGAAGATTAGCGCTGAAAGAGAAGGAACAAATCCATTATACACGCGGTGGGAAGGGTGGTTTATACGAGGATCTCGGTAGAGATCATCCTCGTAAAAGGAACCTCGGAGTTGATGTCTGAGACAGAAGGAAAGGAGTGTAAATGGTACAGAGGGTTGCGAGAGGGGAGGCGAAAAGGAGGGATGAGAAATCGAATCAAGAATGAATCGAGAAGCACTCACCGGTAATTCTTCCTCGCCCAGAAACTGCGATCTCACGTCCAGGTGTCTCGAGTGCCTCAATCTCGTTGCAGTTGCTGTAACATAAAGAAAGAACGGGGAATGATGATATCGTCCATTTAAGATATTGCGCTCGATAGGTACGAATTGCTTAGAAAGTTCGAATCTAAGAATAACGCGACACCGAAAAATGACACCGAAAATCAAAATGACACGACATTTAATACGTTTGAAAATAGAGATATAAAAGTTCAAATATTCATGTCGGCCTCTACGTATGCACATATCGTCCACTGTGCAATAGAGAATAGAGAAGAGAAAAATAGATTGAAAATAGCTCGCTCGATGAGCATATATTTAATAACGTGCGTTGAAATATTTCTCTCTTCTCTAAAATGTCGAGAGAGAATTTGTAATATTTAAGACGAAGATTGCTCCCTGAGTTAAATGCTCCGCTTAATAATTATTTCAACTCGCATTTATTTCTCGCCCTCTCTGTTTTGGATATACGCAAATTTTCTCTCTGCTGCGCGTTTTATATAAATAAACGCGAATTTAAAATATTAAGCATTCCCTCGATACACATTTTTACATGAGATTTAACTTTCGCGTAAAAATTTAATAATAATCATGAGAATACGCGCGTACGCATGTAAAACGATCAATGAAACGACATACATTTCCATGAGAAAATTAATAAACTTCTCCAATGTAGGACAAATTTAACTTAAAATTTATAATTACCAAATACTATAACTAAATTAGAAATTGCACACATCTATCTCGAGGCGAAACTTTGCTTGTAAAGATCTTTATGCATCTCATTCACAACAAGGGTATATTCTCCCAACAAGAACGAAGAATTCAAGTTTAAATTAACTACTTATGCGGCTACAAAACTATTCGCAAGTTAAACAAAATAGGCATTGCTAATGTGGCATTAGAGTTTCTTTAAGTTAATGCACAAAGACGCGAAGCCGGAAAGTACATCGAAGAAAATACAGGCTCTAAGAATATGCAAAGGTATTACGTATATAAAGTTGAGAGGCTCGTTAGCAAACTGTATGTAAGCATGTAACGGGTCGAGCGGAAAATATTCGTCTGTAATTTTAAATAAAATTCACATAGGTTTAAGGAAAAATTATTAAAATAATATTTTTTTATGTATAATTGGTCTTCGATCAAAATATAGACGAAAACGAGAGAGACGGACTCGAGATCGCGCTCGTTTTGCGAAATGTTTGTCGTCGATATTTTCAAATTAAATGGAAATGGTTTTGCTCCCTTTTATTATGTCTTCAACTTTCTAACCACGTGACAGCGACGAAACGCTGTCATTTCTGCAGCTTGCGTGGTTCAGTCATACAATGCGGTTTTGCCCGTACTTAATGCGGGCTCTGTCCCGAATTTTAAGTAAATTTGTGCCGTCGTGAAAGCGATACCACCGGAATTGCATAAAATTCAACTAGCCAGTCACTCTCGGAACGCGCCGTCACTACGAAATACGCTGAAATAACAAAATAAATAAAACGCGACAAAATGAGAGGAAGCTAAAGAATATCTTCGACCATAAATTGTTTGCGCGGATTTTTTCCAACATGTTTCGAATGCATGAGTTGTTTTTCTCTCTTTTTTGTTTTTATTATTCTATTTTTTGTTTCTATTTTTTTATACGAGTTGTCGATTGATAAAAATGGTATACACAAATATGTATAATCGATGCGATCGATCCGTTTGACATTAATGATGTATATCCCAATGAACGGTTTTAATTATACTTCTTCGAGAAAATCAGTAAACAATTCTTGTTTAACCTGATTAAAATATAATATATAATAAGCGCATGATTATACGCGACTATTCGAATCGCTAGTGAAACTCGATATAATTGAATTGAAAATCATTCTCTCTCTACATCGCACTTTGTCTCGAAATTATTTGGGACAATCTAAAATCTCGTCGACGTCACTCGAATTTATTATCGCTCAAATTCAATCGAGCACACTATTCGTAACCACGAATCGATTTGTTCTCCGAAACATTCAAACTGAGACTTTAGCCATTATCTTGTTCCGCTCCAGTTGGAACATCTGTGTAGCAGAAATTATTTGTATTTCTCTATGTTGGCCGCGTTAAACACTCTGCGTAACGATGATGCCCTTTCCCTTGGATATCTCCGAGGAAGAGAGCGTCTCTTGGACGGTTCTTTCCGCTACAGATCCATTAAAGACTTTACATTTGCTCTCGCGGAGTTTCACGTGATAAGCGGGAAATTTTTATCCAGTTCGCTTTTCTCGCCTTGTATTTTATCGTAACTTTCAATACGGGTCAGACAGTGGCTTGATTTTACCCAACGAAATTATGAAAAATACAAACGGAATTACAATTTTTTGTTCCAGCGAAAGATTGATTCATCGATTATTTGCGGTAAAACCATTTATCGTACCAAAGTACGTGGAAATGAAAAACAAATAAAAGATAAATATATTTTTTTAGAAGAGACAATCGATCTAATATTGCGCTCAAATTCTAAAAAGAAATTGCATTACCGTGTTCAACTAAAATTATCATTTTTCATTTCATTCATCATAAACAATGCAGCCGTACTTACGATACTTATACCTTTCGTTCATGAATCGATTCCGTTCGACCTATATATTTCGTTTCGAAAAATGTTAGTTATTCGGTCGAGGGAAGAAATAAAGTATTTTGCAGTTTCCTTCTTTGAAATATCATAAATGTAACTTGTAATGTATATAATTTATTATGAAAATCATTACGATAATCGGGTCCTTACATATTTTGAAGAAGAAATGAGTCTCAACGGATCATAAAAAGATAGACGCAAGATTAAGAAATACTGGCAATCATAAGTTCAACTCGAGAAAAAGCAGGTGACACTTAATGTTAAGATAGCACGAGATAAGAGAAGTGACACGAGACCCATTCGTTCGCGAGAAAAAGATTCTTCGCGAGAGAGACTTTGCGCGAGACACACATTAAGGAGGGAATTCGTGTCAGTCGTGCCATCCTATATTCCATTTTGTGCCCAAAGAGACTCGACGGCATTTATGTCACGAGCTGAAAACCAGGTATGTTATAGCGGATTACGGATAGAGTCCGCCGTATTCCGTATCAAAACCATTTATCGAAACTATCAGCGAGCGAGATTTATTGAATCCGACCGCATCGTTCCTCTCGTGCTCCGATTTTTCCGGCTTAAGTGGCAACGCGCTACGTTCTTTAATCCATAGAAAAAAAAAAAAAACATTTACGAAAACGTACATAGTTGCCCGATTTCATCACGCGGGTCTTCAAATTCCTTGTTTATTTTTACTCCGCGATGTCGAGTAAATGAGAAGTTGATCGCGCTCGCACTTTAATAATTGCTCTTCGATGATCGATCAATCAAACGCGCTCCAGCTGGAAATTATGGACGTTGGTCAGTTTATTTAATACTCGTGAATTTGTGAAACTGTACAGGGTGTTTCATTTTAACTTTGCCATCGAAATAGATCGTAAAGTCTAAAAGATACGAAAAAATGGGATACCCTATATGCTTTTGCATATTCTTCTAGCTCATCTCGAGAGCTTTCCAAAATACTATAACTAAAAATAGTTAGTTTTCATTAAGCACTTTCCGAGTTGCCTCACATATTTTCTTAGTCTGCGAATATTGTAAAAAAAAAATGTAATTGTTAATTGCAAATTACCTATTCATTTTTCTTCGAAACAATTATGTATTTTCTTTACCAATTGATTCCTCTCATTATTTTGTACATAAAAGTACTAAGATAATCGAAAAATGAATACTTTACGATTTATGTAAAATTAAGAAATAATTTCACGTTTCATAAAGTACTTATACTCGGAAAGTACTTAATGAAAACTAACTTAATTACTAGTGTAATACGTAGTGTTTTGGAAAGCTCTCGAAATGAGCTATAAGAATATGTAAAAGCATATAGGGTATTTAAAAAGTTGGAGGTGATCTTCAGGTGATTCTTCAAGGTCAAACTAATGGCATCATCCTATATCCCCCTCGAAACCATGCAACTTTTGTCTGAAACATTTTTTCGTATCTTTTAGACTTTACGAGATATTTCGATATGGCAAAGTTAAAATGAAACACCCTACAGGTAATTATATCTCGTTTTATCGGTATAGAAATACCGATAAAACGAGATATAATTAATTTGCAGAAACGACGCTAGCAAATTTCTCGACGGTGAATATTAATTAGAAAAATTAACAGAAATTCCGCCAACAAGATATCGTTTTACTCATTTTAGTCTTCGTATCGTCTTCCGTAAACGTGATAGTGACTATACTAAACCGGTAGCATGAGCAGTTATATGAATGGCAAACGAGATAAGTTGAACCTCTACAAAGTCAATCCACGTCGGTGCTTTCGACGACAAATTTTTTTACGCGGATTGTCGCATCGTACATAAGCGTATTATCCGTTATATGAACTACGAAAATTATTAAGCCCCATTTCGCTAAGTGCACGCTGTTCGCGGAATGTTATATTTGTGCCGCTTAAGCAGCCTGCCAGCTTATTTCGCTAACAGCGAAATCGCGTTTCAGCGAAAACGTAGCGCCTAAACGCAGTATACGCGCGGATAATCTTTATAATTTTTCGCGCCATGCGTTTATCTCCTCGCGAGAGCGTCCCGCGATAAAACGTACCATTAACTTATATCTAATTGGGTTAAAACATTTTTCGAATTTATCGTCTTTTTTCGCTTATTGCACAACCGTCTGCAGCGCGCGTCGCATCCCATAAATCCCCTGGTTTCGCGCCATACATGCGCGCCATCGAAAATTTGTCGAGAGAGCGGGAGGAGGGGCAGGAAAAAAAGGAGAACTTATGAAAATGCGGGGTATTTTTTCGCGAGAGAACGGGACGCGCCAAAACATACCCGGCGTGCCCGGATTTACCGGTCGCGTCGTCGAAAACGAACGGGATCGACCCCCGGGAGATGCCATTTCCGGCATTATCGGCGACGTCATCGGAAAAGCGTCAACTGTAAAAGGATTCGCGTCGGCCCGGGAGCCGTTTCGCATTTTTCAT